AGAAAGACTTAAACTACTTCAGTCTGTGTGCATTGAATTTATTTAATACACGAGTTTCACAATTTGAGTTGAATTACTGAAATAAATGAACTTTTCCACGACATTCTAATTTATTGAGATGCACCTGTACATGTTTTTTGTTTGTTTCTCTGGTAAGATCAGGGGCTAAATATCACGTTATTGCTTCAACCCACGGACATGCAAAACAACCCGCGGCAACAGTGTTACAATTCCGCGGGAAAACCGCGGACCTGGCAACACTGATTCAACCTCGCTTACTCTGATACAAGTTATCAACTAACATCAAACACGGGAAATATGCTGACCTGCAATTAAATAGCTGTTTGTCAGATCTAACCCTTAAATTTATTTTGGTTTGTGTAACCTAATGTATTTAGATTGAGTCCGTGATGTTTAATTACATTTTATACTTCAATAAATGAATTAATTTAGATGTAACAACAGGCAGCATTTTAAGTGAAGTGGTCTTCTGATACTTTAACACTGGTATTTCCGTGCAGAAATGCAAATAAAGTATTAACATTCACATTTATTTCAGCAGAGGCAGAAAATGGATTCAAATGAATTATCTTTAAACAATGAAAGCAAGAGATTTATTTCATAGCATAATGACAAGGCAAGATGAAGTTTGAAGACAGCCTCTCAACACAGCAAAACGAAAGAGTGATAAAAGGGGGAAAGAGAAACTTGCACACATCATGGTACCATGAGAGATAACCTAAGCCGAGATGTTTTGTGGAGAAAGACAAAAAAAAAAAAAAAAAATCACAAAATCCAGGTTTACTGCTCAGTTCAGCTCTGAGTTTAGATTCATATCAAATGAGGAAAAAACAGGAGACAATAATATCCACATCAAAATAATCATTTAAGGAGCTTTAATTATTAAAAAAGAAGAAAAAAAAAAATGTGAGTAGCCAGTTTAAAAGGATGAAAAAGACTTCTCCTGTGGTGGTTTTATATTCCTGCAGGTTTACCTTCATCCACCTCTCCTTATTTTGCAACATAAAAAATAAACTACTTCTAAGTGCACTCTTTCCCCTCTACAACACTTCTGTTCAAATGTTCTTTTGGTTTGCTTACTAGTTTGGATCAACTAGATCAAAGTGTGTAACTCTTGCTGTCTGAGGCGTCATCTGTATCTCAAATAATGATGCTGGTCACACACACACACATACACACACACGCATACATGCATATATAATAAAATATTTATTTTAACTAATCAATTTTAACCAAGTAATTACTTCATATCAACACAAATATTTAATCAAATATTTAAATCGTATAAATTCCAAATGTTAATTTTATTAAGTAAAAAGTAATAAAAATTCCACATAAAAATTATTTAACCCATTTAAAAAATGTTAAGTAATTTAAATTTCAAATATAAATGTAATAATTTAAAGCTAATTTCAAATTATTTAAAATAGTTTCAAATAATTAAAATTCCAAATATAAATTACTTACAAAATCCACATAATTTCAAATAGTTTAAATTCCAAATCCAAATCTAGTCATCTAAAAGTAATTTCAAATAATTTAAAATGGTTTCAAATAATTTGAATTCCAAATATAAATGGATTAATAATTTGTAAATAATTTTCAATTGTTCAAATTACAAATATAAATTATTCATTTTAAAACAATAGCCATTGCTTTATTTACAATTGATCATGACCATTTAACACAAAACACAGCATTTATTTTAACTGAACATTGGTCTGATTGTCAATGATATTGTTTACACTTATTTTATTTTAAATAATTTAAATTACAAATACAAATGGTTTAATAATGATTTCCATTACTTGATTTTAAATTGATCTGGCTCTAAAACGTGAACTATGACCATGTAACACACCACGTGGACTCCTTTTCATTGAACACTGGTATCTTATCATAATGTTGTTGATTACACTGATTTTACCACATTTATCTGCCCTTGACTATAGCAAAATCACTGTAAATCATGCCCTATTGCTCAAATGTAATAGTCCCTCCACAAAAGACCTCAGACAGGTCAAGTCAAGCTGACGTTGTTGTGGTACCTCTTCCTTTTGCTCCTGTGTGAGTGCGAGCGAGAGCGATGGCGATCTTTGTGTCTGTGCTTCCTCTCCCTGTCTCGTTCCCGCTCTCCATCCTCACGGTGCCGACGAGAGTGATGAGAGGACGAGCTTCCTCCTTCCCTAAAAAGCAGAGAGAAAGATATATATAGAGATATATATAGCACATACATATGATACTGCTCCAGATGTTATTAGTTAGGAAGCTGATCCTCACCGATGTCGCTCACCACTTCTGGATCTGGACCTAAGAAGAGAGGGATGAAGAATAACTTAAAGAGAGACAATCACGATAAAACACTTGTGCATTTCTGTGCTACAACAAATATTTGATAGTTTTTTAAATTTATTTAAATGTCATAGTTTGATTCATTTCTGTGAGACAGCTGTTTTAAGCTTCAGTGAATCAGTTCAAAACACTGCTTCAACAATTTGCGCGTCAACTCTTTAAAAATTTTCACAGGAGTCTCTGTGTGACATGTCACATCTTTAAAGCATGTGTAACTACTGCTTTACTACATCTCCAAATTAAAGAGCAAAAACACAAAATTGATCATTGTTAATTAGATTTGGCTTAGTTCTTGAAGTTTTTGAGTTACTATTCGATTCTGAATCTATTTGGCTGTTTAGTCTATATTATGAACTGAAACAACACTGAACTGACTTGAGCTGAATAATGACACTACCGTGTCTTTAGAGCTGCTTTATAATTGAATTGAGTCCGTTTCATAATGAACTTTGCCATATCAACACTGTTACTGAATCAACATTGAACTGAATCAAACTGGATAATGACACTAACTTTGCATCACTGTTATTGAATCTGAACTTAAATGAATCAACATTGAAAAGTGAATCTGAAATGAATCAGCCCTTAACTGAGCTGAATAATGACACTATTGCCTTCTGTAGAGCTGCTTCATAGTTTGAGTTCATGTCATAATCGAAATAGTATAGCAAAATCAATAGTGCTACTGTTATTGTATATATGAACTGAATCTGAACTACCTGAATCAACATTGAATATAAAATGCATCTAAACTGAATCAACACAGAACTGAGCTGAATAATGATACTATTGTCCTCTGGAGAGCTGCTCTAATGCTGAAATTGAGTTTGTTTCAAAACCAATTATTTTTACAAGCTTACTATTTATTTTCTTATTACATTGCCTTATTTTACTGTTTATTACTGTGAAGCTGCTTTGAAAAAATTAGTATCGTATAAAGCACTACAGAAATAAAAGTGGCTTGATTTGCCTTGACTATTACAGCTCAACTAATTGGAAGCAAAGTACATAAATATCAAGATACTTTTTCAGCTATAATACAAAGGCTTCATTATGATTGCAACACATTTTTGTGAATGAAATGAAAGCAGAACACAGAGACAGACCTCCTGCGTTCCCTCTCTCTGTCTCTCTCTCGCTCGCGCTCCCTCTCTCTCTCTCTTTCTCTCTCGCGCTCTCTCTCTTTCTCCATCTCCCACTCTCTGGCTCGCTCCTCTTCTCTGTCGCGTTCCTCTCTTCTCCTCGTGCGCATGCGCTCCTGTTTCTCCGTCACAGCTTTCTGCAAATCACAGCAGATCGTCAATGAAGAGCTGCGTGACAACAGCCCGACTGAGCTCTGTGTGCTCCATCTCACCCTCAGTTTTTCAAGTTTTTCACGGATTTCGATGAAACCTATATGAAGTTTCCCTCCAAAGTGGTCGGCGAGGCGGCGGTCGTTGTCGTGGAGACCGAGGTAAGCAGAGCAAACCTCACACACCCGCAGCTTCTGCTGCTGGAAGCTGGAAGCCGGCATGGAGTTGCGGTATATGTCCTAAACACAATAGCATATTTACTTGTAATAGTGTGATTAGGACACCACAATCAAATTTAATTTGTGCTTCGAGTTCTACAGGTAGTACGGAGGACTACAATGATATTTCCACCTGGCCACCATGACCCCACACTGACCTCTGCCTCTTTCTTCAGGGTGCGTGTTTTCTCCATCTTCTCCAGGACCTGCTGAGCCTCCTCCACGTTCCCCTCGCCGCCCAGTTGCTCCGCACGCGCCAGCAGCTTCCCGATCTCCTCGTTCAGCTCGTGCACACGCTCCGCCTGCCGATCACAGCACATAGAAAATCAGAGAACATGAAGAAGACTTCAAGTTACAGCTGTAAAAACAGACAAGATTCATAGTAAGGGTCAGAGAGTGGGGCAAATGGCCATGACAAATGAAATTATTTGTGGTTGAAAATAAAAGACTTTGAATAATGTTATAAACTGATCTCAGGCAAAATAACTAAACGCTACCAAATGGCAAGATATTATGGAAGCCTATTTCTGCCACAAAATAAAAAAAATGAATTTAATAGCGACTTTTTATCCACTATTCTTACTTCTCGCAATCACAAATTAATCTCTCACAATTCCGAGTTTACATACGCAACTGAATTTTTTTTAATCATAATTCTGACATTTTTTTCCTCAGAATTCAGAGTTTATACTTCACAATTCAGACTTTTTCTCAGAATTCTTCTTAAAATGAAATTATTTGTGGTTGAAAATAAAAGACTTTGAATAATGTTATAAACTGATCTCAGGCAAAATAACTAAACGCTACCAAATGGCAAGATATTATGGAAGCCTATTTCTGCCACAAAATAAAAAAAATGAATTTAATAGTGACTTTTTATCCACTATTCTTACTTCTCGCAATCACAAATTAATCTCTTACAATTCCGAGTTTACATACGTAACTGAATTTTTTTCCTCATAATTCTGACATTTTTTTCCTCAGAATTCAGTTTATACTTCACAATTCAGACTTTTTCTCAGAATTCTTCTTACATCTTGCAATACAGACTTCTTTTCTCAGAATAGTGTGTACATCTCACAATTTGGACTTTTGTTCTGATAAAACAGAGTTTACACTTCGCAATTCTGACTTTTTTTCCTCAGAATTCTATGCTAATATTCTACAATTCAGACTTTTCCCTCAGAATTCTGACTATCTCCCAATTCTAACTTTTAGCTAAAACTTCAAAATATAAATTTAAAATTCTAAAAGAAAACATCAGATTTGATTTACACTTCGCAATTCTGACTTTTTTTTCTCAGAATTCTATGCTAATATTCTACAACTCAGACTTTTCCCCTCAGAATTCTGACTATCTCCCAATTCTAACTTTTAGTTAAAACTTCAAAATATAAATTTAAAATTCTAAAAGAAAACATCAGATTTGCGAAAAATAAAGTCAGAATGTTGAGATTTTGCAATCAGCTTTTTTATTCTGTGGTGGAAACAAGGTTGTGTAGGATATGATCCCTTAAAAAAAAAACACACACACAAAAAAAAACAAAATACAGATTGAGTGGACTTCTTTTCTGTTTGCATGTATTTGCTATCGAAACAGGAAGTTGGAAAAGGACACACTGAAGGGCCCATTTATATCAGAGCTGTGGACCAGGACTCACTACTTGCTGGTTTGTGCACAAAACGCAGGTGTGCGAAACTTCAGTATGAAAATGATGTGCAAGTGAAATCTCGTGTTGCAGAGAAACGTTAAGGGATTCCCCAGCGCAGATCGTCAGGTTTTACCTTAGCAGCCACTTCAGCGCTGATCTCTTCCTGCGTTTCGGCCAGTCGTTTCTTGGCCAGTTCGGTTCTTCGGTCACAGTCTGCGATGAAGGACTGCAGGTGCTCCGCGGCCTGAGGAGACACGCCACAATCAGCCATTTATGAGCAGTTTACACACACACAGTCAAATGTATATGAATGGAAAGGGTTTATACTCACATCCAGCTCAAAGAAAAACTCCTGCTGTTTAGATGCGATCTCGTAATCTGCTCTCAAAGCGAGATCGTGAATCTTCACACACTCCCCCAGATCCATGCGCTACACAAACACAACCATTTAGAAACCTCAGGCAACTTCTCAACGTTTTTGATGTCATAATGCAACTGTGGCGTAGCATAAATGAAGTATTGCAATTAACAAACAGGTTTTAGATGAGTAAAGTCAAACCCATAGAGATGAGGAGTGATAATGAGACGCTTACGGTTCCAGACAGTATGTCATGTGGACACGACTCCAGCAGATGACTCTTACACACCCGCTCGTCCGTGAACTTGATCCGCTGTCTCATCGTGTCTCCTGCGAGAAACCAGATCCACACATTATGAGCATCAAAAATCATCAAATCAAGCCACAATCGAACCATGATTCTCATCGTGACAAAAAACAACGAGACACACCATTCAAATGAACAGCACTGTAAACAGCAATTCAAATCATGATTCTCATTAAAAAAAAAAAAAGACTGTTGATCAAATGACAATTTTGACCTCATTATGACAAAAAAAAAAGAGAATTCTTTTAATAATTTGTCAGATAATGTAATTATGTCAAGCAAAACGTGAATCATGGCAAATGAATCATCATATTCATGATTCTCATATAACAATACATTTATGACTAGGGTTGCAAAAAGGTGGAAAATTTCCAGTAAATTTCGGAAATATTCCAGAAATTTTGGAAACTTTCCAGGATTTTTTTTGGAATATTCCAGGGATTTTTTGAGTTATTTGATTAGGTTTTAATCAAATCAACAAATTCATGAATGTTATAAAATCATGTCAATCAAATAATGGTGTTTACAAATCATGTAATTAAAAAAATAAATAAAATAAAGTCATGACAATGAAATTATAAAACTCAATAAAATAAAGACATCATGTCAATCAAGTTGCAGATTTTACAAAATCATGCCAAAAAGGTAGAATGAAATCAAATTGACAATGTCAACTTATATCAACCAAATCATGATTCTGATCATGGCCAATTAATAACTGATCATTAACTATTTGATTCTCATCAAAGGATTTCTGACAGATATGAAATCATTCCAGACAAAACATTTATGATTTTTCAAATCAAGTCAATAAAAATCATGAGAACCAATCATTTTGTTTAGCAAATTATTTAAAGAAAAAGAGGGGATAACACAAATTATAAAGTCATTGCAGAAAAATAATGAAAATTATGACAGTTCTGTTCATCAGTTCATCAAATTACAGTTCTGACCAAATCATGCCAAAAACACTGAATAATCATGATCAGTTATGTCCACCAAATCATTTGAGTTGTGTGATTCATATCATGGTAGATACACCATAATAATCATGATTCTCATCAAATAATTTCTGACTGATATGAAATCATTCCAGTCAAAAATCATGATTCGGGAGATTCACGATTTTTTTTATTAAATTCAAATCTAATTAAATTATTTCTCGTGCGAAATAATTAGAAATCACGAAACCATGCCAACCAAAGAGTGAGAATAACACTAATTACAAAGTCATGGCGACGAAATCATGGGAGTCATCAGTCTGACGTGTTTCCGTCAATCAGATCAGAGTTCAGAGATATTAAATCATTTAACCAACCCACGAGAGCAATGAAACCGTGACTTTTTAACAGGTCTGTCAAACAAATCGCTAGAGTATAAATGCATACAGTATACGTTAAATCATCAAATCGAGTCCGTTGAAGTAACGAATCGCTTATTGAATCAAATGCATGGTTTAACGTAGTTTTGATTTGATGAGACTGAAAGAAGCACTCACCGTCTCTGCTAGTGCCCATGAGCTGGTCCAGCATGGCTCTCATCTGCGCCTGGGCCGACATCTTTACCTGTTTACCTCTACACGTGTGAGTGTACCCGGCTGACGCGTTTATCTAACTCCTCATACAGCAGGCCTCAACACAAACGGCCGCCGAGAAGACAAATCCCCTCCTGTACCTCACCAACACACTTTCTACTGACACCACGCACACTCTTGTCTTTCAAATCCCCCGGAATGCGCAGTTTTTAGTTGAAATATCGCTGAAATCAGTCATAAATCAGTGAGTTAGCATCGTGCGTTAGCAGCAGCGGCTAACTCTTCCCCAACGCCCCTCAGTCCGCCTTATGTGCGCTTATTTATCAGTCCTAGCGCTGCTTTATCAATCCGCAGTTCAATATTTAGTGTAATGGTCCATATTCGCAAAGTTTTGACAGTGTTTATTTGGTGTTGCTTTATTGTTTTATTTCTTTTTTTTTTCCTCTCGGAAAGCGACTTCCGACCCGCGCGCACAGCTCCCGCTTGGTGACGCAACCTCGAGGAAGTGGCGCAGAGCTCGAGCGCTGATTGGCCGACGCGTGGGTGACATCATCACGTCGGCGCCGCTGCGCGAGTGTGAGGTCATCAGAGCATGTGGACCAACATGCTGAGTTCTCGCTACAAAACCTATGGACAAAACTCATGTTAACGTTGTCATTTTTTTTCAATGTAAATATGTAATACATAAAAACAAAAACATGGTCCATATTCGCAAAGTTTTGACAGTGTTTATTTGGTGTTGCTTTATTGTTTTATTTCTTTTTTTTTTCCTCTCGGAAAGCGACTTCCGACCCGCGCGCACAGCTCCCGCTTGGTGACGCAACCTCGAGGAAGTGGCGCAGAGCTCGAGCGCTGATTGGCCGACGCGTGGGTGACATCATCACGTCGGCGCCGCTGCGCGAGTGTGAGGTCATCAGAGCATGTGGACCAACATGCTGAGTTCTCGCTACAAAACCTATGGACAAAACTCATGTCGAACATGTTAACGTTGTCATTTTTTTCAATGTAAATATGTAATACATAAAAACAAAAACATGAATCTTTACCACGAATGTCCTAAACGTTTGTTTGTTCTTAAACCAAGTTTTTTTTTTTTTTAATGTTTTTTATTGGCACACACAGAGTGTTGGGTAGATTACTTACAAATTGTAGTCCATTACTGATTCCAAATTACAAGATAAAAATTTTTACTTAGTAACGTAATCCATTACATTACACATTTTAGGTAGCCTGATTACTTTTGGATTACTTTTGACCTAACGCGTTTATCACATTGATTTAAATAGGATAATCTTGTTCCACATTGATGTAAAAATACAAAGAGAGAGAAAATGAATTCCATTCGTTGTTATTAAGGATGAAAAAGAAAAATGAGTGAGATTCAATAAATTAGGAATGATTTACTGCTGTTGTGTGAATAATATGTAATAAGTAAAAAAGTAACTAGTCTGATTACGGTTATTTTAAAATGTAATCTAATTACAAGTACTTAATTTTTGTAATCTGATTATGTAATCCAGATTACATGTAATCAGTTACTACCCAGCTCTGTGTATACATACATACAGTTGTGGTTAAAACTTTGCAGAATCTGCGAAACGTTAACTATTTTTCCAAAATAAAAGGCATCACACAAAATGCATGTTATTTTTTATTTAGTCCCAAGATATTTTATGTAAAAGATGTTTGCGTGTAGTCCACAGGACAAAATAATATCTGAATTTATAAAAATGACCCCTTTCAAAACTTTACATACGCTTGATTCTTACAACTGTGTGCGGTTACCTGGATGATCCACGGCTGTATTTTTGTTTTGTGACGCTTGTTCATGAGTCCCTTGTTTGTCCTGAGCAGTTAAACTACCGCTGATCTTCAGAAAAATCCTCCAGGTCTTTGGTTTTGCAGCAGCTTTTTCATATATGAACCTTTTCCAAGTGCATGACTTTGAGATCCATCTTTTCACACCGACAACTGATGGACTCATACACAACTATTACAAAAGGCTCAAAGATTCCCGCTCCAGAAGGAAACACAACCGCCGCATTTAGAGCTTTTAGAATTTAGAATTTGAAGATCAGGGTAAATTGTACTTATTTTGCCTTCAGGAACATCTTCTGAAACATATAAGTAGCTTCTGAAGGGCAGTACTAAATGAAAAATATGATATTTAAACAAAATAATCATCCGGTTCAAAAGTTTTCCACCCCCAGCTTGCGTCACGTCTGCATCTGACAACGAAAACTTGACGTTTTAACTGTAATATGTTTTAGGACCGAGGGGGAACCGGAAAATTCTTAAAGATATGATATGTTTTAATAGTGTAATCAAATTTTAAAAGATCAAGCACTATTTGATTACTCATTAGATGCCCGCTTTAATATTAGGTCTCCTTGTTCGCATCTCACAGGTCAATAATTACACAAGAAATGACCACAAACACAACAGTATTGGTTCTCTCTGTTTATTGTACTGATGTGGGACAGACATCGCTTAATTTATGTATGTTGTATATTATATTCATATGTATAAAAAACATCCAGTCTAATAGTTTTTTCTCCAACTACTTCCACAGAATACAAAATCAAACCCAGTTGTGATTATCAATTAGAAGAACGAGAACAAACAGAAACACAAAGAGGTCCTCTCAGACAGACGTCTGTCCACCGTCACACTTCCCATTGATCACAGTCACGTTATTGTTTTGGCACCAGAGTTTCGTCTCGTCACACTAAAGCACATGGAAAACATATGAGCTTATTTATCAGCTTGACTCTGCACATGCAACTAACCGTCCTGTGTTTGGATCATCTGGTGAAGAAAACGTCCCATCTATGTGCTCTCTCTCTGAGTTTGAATAAATATTTATTTTTGCATTAAATTAAATTTCCGTATAATACAGAGAGAAGACTCCATGAACGTTTACAGCTTTGGCACACCAGCTAACTGCTTGATTCACAGTTTCTACAAGAGCCAGGCCGTGCATGTGAAGCGCTTCAAAGCATTTCGTCTTTAAATGTTTTGAATCTCAGGTATTTCATTGCTTATATTGTAGATTTAGCCTCTAGTTGTCGAGTGGCGCGTCGTGTCTATAGAGGGCCTCTCAATGTAAGCTTTTTAACAACAGTTTCATCACTAAGAATCACAATTCATGGATATACAGCATATAGATATACATAAAACAAATCATCAGCTCACACAGTCCAATTAAAATAAAAATTAAAAGTAATGTGATGTGAAAAACAAACTTTGTACCTTCAGAACATTACCAAGCCACATGGATGACCTCGAATTATGCTACATATGTCTTCATCATGAATCTTTCCATCTTTTCCTATTCATAGTTCTGGTCTTAAAAATCAAAGAAATTAAATTGCCCAAAATGTTTTGTTTTTGTTTTGAGCTGTATTATATGGGAATTTGGATAAAAAAAAATTAGACAATCATGTACAACTGCTCTAAGTGTTTTGATGCTACATCTTTTTTTAAATTATTTAAACAGATGAAACTGTAAAAATGAATGTGCATTTATAGTGTATTTATAGTGCACTTTTTCTTTTTGTAATTTCATTGCGGATGAAAACGAGGCTGTGCAGTCGTGGCACACATCATATAAAGGTCATAATTTTCACAACTCACAACTTTCAAAACTGTTTTATGGAGTTTTTGTCAAGCGTACATTTTATTCAAAAGCCTCGTTCAGACTGTCAGCCCAAATCCGAACGACTCAAACCCGAAGACTTGTCAGATAAGAGGTGGTGAGCTAATCATAGACTGAAGACCCAGGTAAACAATTAATCTTTTCTGTTTCTTATTGCAGTTTTGTATTGTTTGTAGTGTGATCAACGTTTGCGTAAGTAGTAGACGTGTTAGGGAAGTAACACGTAACATTTTAATTATATTTTGCTAAAATGAACGAAATTACTCGAAAAAAGATTCGTTCATTTTGCTGAACGAGACTCAAAGGTCCGAGTCGGTAAAATGATCCGAACTTCCCATCACTACTTCGCAATGACACAAGCTTGTTTCTGGCATGTTTTCTGCAAAAAACGTCTGAAGTGTTTACGTTTTACGTGGCGTGAGGGCGTGAAAAAAGCTACGCTAAATCCAATCTGACTGGTCAGACTGAAACGATTTCCAGGAATGCAATTTGAATAGGATTCCAAACCACATATGAATGTAGCTCGAAACGGATTTGCAAAAATCGAATTTCATATAGTTTGTTGCCGTTCAGACTATCTAAATATGATCGGATTTCAATCAGATTTGCACAAAAATCGGATTTGGGCTGACGAGGCTAAAGAGACGTTTCATCGGCTGAACAATCGGTATGTTGTTCAACAACAGTTCAATCCATTGAACGCACTGTACTTCAGTCCCTCACAGCCTCGTTTTCATTCCTGTCAGAAATGAAATATGGCGCTGCCCTGACTAAGGTGATGCTGATTATTTTATTGTGAAAAAACGGGGTACTATGATAAAAAATAATAAATTCTGTTACTTTTCATAAGTTTATGTGATCGGGTTGCTATGGTGATTTCAGAAAGCCATAAGTGGCGGCACTGTTCTCTGAGCGGTGGGCGTGGCTCAGTCTCATTCAGCCAATCGGACATCAGTGGGCGGGGTGGTTTTTGCTGGTCTCGTAAGGCAGTGAGGATTTCAGGCCTCGTTACATTCGATAACACTGAGTGCAAGCCCAGACCAACTCACGGCGCTGATCCCGGATCAGACCCGCACTTGAACACAGCGGCACGCGTCAGCAGCAGTTCGGCCGGTGTTGTGCCAAATTCTGCACCCCTGCCAGATTCGTTGACTCGCTAACTAATTGCCTAATCTTAACCCCTCCCCCACACCTCCTCCTAAACCTACCAATACTAGGGGGTGCATAATCTGGCACAACGCCGGACTCTGGCCCGAGATCAGGCAGAACACCCACCTTGTACTTGTTGTGTAAATAAATACAACACAGAACTATGATAAAAACAGAGTGGAAGTACTAGAGGAGTCTGGGATCTCTTCTGAGGTATTGTCTAACATCTAGCTCCATAGCACCATTTTCCCACACTTTGATCAAATGCATCTGCCTAAATTACAGATTTAAAGAAATACCGCAGGTTTAACTCGAGCATCTGTGGTTGTAAGTGAAAATACTTTGGATTCGTAATTCATTTTCTGTAGGAATGTCAACCAATAGAGCTCGAGATAAACCTGAAAACTTCAATTGAATCTCAAATCACTGACCGTTAATTGTTCGTTTTAGGCAGATCGGCCGTATTCTGGTCTTAATTACTTTATTCTAACACACTGTTTTTACTTGCAAACTCAAATAACATTAAAATTGTCTGCATATGAGTGGTCATACTCTCTCTGTATTTGTTTTATTTGCTCAAATGCAGGTTTCAAATGTCTCTTAATGTTAATATAGCATTTTGATTTAGTAACATGAGATAGTTTATTCAGTTGGCACTGCCTGGAAAAGGACTGGCGTACTTATGTACATTAAAGTACAGCCCATATCTGAAATGGGCTTAGATTTTACATATCTATTATAACTAATAAACAGTTGGACCTGCAAGGGTTAGTCTCATGAAAACACGTATGTTAAAACACCTCAAAACAAAAGAAAATATGGCATTATATTTTGCATAAAGTTTTGCAAAAAAATAAAATTAAAATAAAAAACAAAACAAAATAAAATGAAAAAATAATATCATAAAGACAACAATTAAATACATTTCCCCATTAGTGTAACGCAAAATATTTTCTCACTAGAAATGCAAAAAAATGCACACAAAAAAATTATGTGTGTACTTTTGAGAATATTTAAAAATATTTTTCTAATTGATGAAACAAGACCTGGACATGCTCTCGACAGGTTTCGTGAGATTCCCCCTTGAAAGGACAGCAGTTGACCCGTATTTAGCGTAAGACTTTTATTTTGAAATACTCTGAATGATCTACACCGTTTACCATCTCTGTGAAACACTTCCTGTTAAAAACTGGAGCTGAGCCAGATAGAGGGGAAGAAACGAGTGGAAAAACCAAGGTTTTCACAATGATGAAGACAAAAGACATGAGAAGATGTGACATGAGCTGTACACTCAGAGAGAAGGAGAACATGTGTGTGTGTGTGAGTGAGTGAGTGAGTGTGTGTGTGTGTGTGTGAGTGAGTGTGAGTGTGTGTGTGTGTGTGTGAGTGAGTGTGAGTGTGTGTGTGAGAGTGTGTGTGTGAGTGTGTGTTTACAAGCATCCCTGGGTTGTACAAGTGTGTCACATGGTGTTATTCCACTTTGTAAGTGTTGAATTGAATGGAACGTGCCTTGTCTACCTTGTTAACACCTCGGTGCCGACGCTTGTGTGTGTAATTAAAGGTGCAACTTCCACCACAGTGAGGTGAAAACATGAGGAGAGCGCCGGAGGCGTCTTACAGAGCGGTGAGTCTCCCCGTCAGAGCGGCCTGCAGTTCAGACGGCAGGAACACGCCGAGCTCCGTGATGATGCCGCCTGTGATCAGCTGGTGAGGAGTGACGTCAAACGCCGGGTTCCAGACCTCGATCCCTGCAACCAGACGCACAACCCAGAGAACGAGTCTCATTTTACTGCCAATGATATATTATAATTTATGGTAATATTTGAATTAGATTTTATTTTGATATTTTCTGTTTGCACTTTCATTTTAGTTTTTAAGTTTTAGTAATTTTCTTGTAATTTTGTATTTTTTTGTTTTTCTTGTCTATATATGTCTATATAGGGTTTATTCATTTTTATTTAATACTTTTTTATGTTATTATTATTATTATTAGTTGTTATTATTGTACTTAAAATTAGAATAAATTAAAATAAGAAGTGTTGCTTTGGCAAAAAGATAAAATAAGTTAAATAATTTCTTTAATTTACATTTCAGTTCTTTCAAATAATTTTTTTTATTGTTTTATATTTAGTTAACAATATGCTTTCAAGGGTTTACACAGTCAAAACGTTTTAGGTACACTTTCATTTTTATTTTTATTTTAATGCAATTAATACTTCTATTCAAGCAAGGACACATTAAATTAATCAAAGATGACAATAAAGACATTTCTAATGTTACAAATGTTTTCTATTTCAAATAAATGCTGTTCTTTTGAACGTTCCATTCATCAAAGAATTCTGAAAAATAAAATGCATCACGGTTTTCACAAAAATATGAAGCAGCAACTGTTCTAAGCATTGATAATAATCAGAAGTGTTTCTTGAGCAGCAGATCAGCATATTAGAATGATTTCTGAAGATCATGTGACACTGAAGACTGGAGTAATGATGCTGAAAATTCAGCTTTGATCACAGCAATAAATTACATTTTAATATATATTCACATAGAAAATAAATATTTTAAATTATAATAATATTTCACAATATTCCGGTTTTTACAGTCTTTTTGATAAAATAAATGCAGTCGTGGTGAGCAGAAGAGACTTTTTTAGAAAACATTTAAACTCGCACTAAACATTTAAATTAATAGAGTGGTGTGGATTATTGTGATGTTTTTATCAGCTGTTTGGACTCTCATTCTGACGGCACCCATTCACTGCAGAGCATCCATTGCTGAGCAAATGATGCAATGCTACATTTCTCCAAACCTGTTCCCACGAATGAACAAACATATTAACACTGTACTATTTTACTCCACAGACAGACAGCAGTCTAGCTCATATAACCGTCTGATTCATGCTTCTCTTCAAATATAACAGACATATAACCATTCCAGTTAGATAACAAGTTAATTTGCTGAGATGAATTGATTCCCATGCTGATCTGGGACCAGCGTTCCCGTCTCAATCTCCAGGTCTGAGTTCATGAGAGTAGTGCAGTAATCCGTCTCTCCCCTCGAGACGCCGGCAGCTATTAAACACTGCAGCTTTAATTAATCTGATGATTCTGACTCCTCTCTCTCTCCCTCTGTTTTCACACATATGGAGGATCATCCCTCGCTCGCTCGCGCTCATATCAGAACAGTTTAATTAAAAGCAGCTCCGCTCTGTTTCAAATCTCACTTAAGCCCTGCGGTCACGCGTGCACACACACTAATCATCTTTTTCTGGTTCTCTCACCCCTTCTTTACCAAAAAAAACCCTGTTGCTATGAACATTTACAAACTAAAAAAATACAAATAGCTGTTTACTGTACATGGACATGATGCAAAAACTCATTTAATACACTTACACTACCATTCAAACGTTTGGGATTGGTAAGAAGTTTTAATGCTTTTAGTCTTTTTGCTCACCAAGGCTTCATTTATTTAATCAAGAATACAGTAAAAGCAGTAATATTGTGAAATATTATTATCATTCAAAATAAGTGTTTTCTGTCTGAACATGTTAAAATGTAATTTATTCCTGAGATCAAATCTGAATTTTCAGCATCATTACTCCAGTCTTCAGTGTCACATGATCTTCAGAAATCATTCTAATATGAGGATTTGCTGCTCAAAAAACATTTCTGATTATTATCAATGTTGAAAACAGTTGTGCTGCTTCATATTTTTGTGCAAACCATGATACATTTAATTTTTCAGGATTCTTTGACGAATAAAAAGTTCAAAAGAACAGCATTTATTTGTAATAGAAAACACTATGTCTTTACCGTCACTTTTGATCGATTTTAAAAATCACACCAACCCCAAACCTTTGAACGATAGTGTATTTGAAAATAAAAAGTAAAAATATCTATTTACAGAAACGTGCTTAATTTCACAAAAACTCCCATGAGAATGCATTTATTTATTTATTATTTTATATTTGGACCTTATTCTCAGAGTTTGATTTTTAAAAAAAATCTGTGACATTAAAGGCAGGTAAAAAGTGGGAAACATAAATTATATTATTTATGCCCATTTAATTGCCAATAAGTGTCTAAAAAAAACTAAACTTTGACTACTTTATCTATAGACAAACTTTACAAACTAAGGCAAATCCAGTGATCTGTTCATCCTTGGAAGTGCTTACTGTAGTATATTAACTGGGAATTTGTAAACAAATTTGGATCAGTGATATTTTAGTTTTATTTATATACTTTTTATTAATATTGTGAATAATTTTTATATTTTGAGTTCTTTTTTCTTTTTCTTTTTTAAATTCAAGTTTATTTTTTAGTAATTTTGTTGTTTCAATGTATATTTTTAAAATATTACTATTTAGGTTAAACTTATATTTATTTCAGTTTTAGTTTGTTTTAGCTCAGCTTTAGTTTTTATTTATTCGAAGTAGGGATGTAACGATTCACTCAACTCACGATTCGATTCACGATTCAATTTTCTCACGATTTTTTCTAAACAAAATTAGATTTAAGACAAATTATAAATGAAAAGGTGTCCTTTTATTATTGCTTGGACAAAATGCTGCACATTTCCTTGTGAAACAGAAATATGTCACATAACAAAACTAAATTGAAATTTTAAAACAAACCCTAAATCTAATCAAATAAATAAGACAACAAAAATCTCTTCATATAAACAAAGGCTACCTGTGCACTTTACATTCAAAATTAGAGGCAACCACTGCATTTGAATCACAATCCAAACAAAGATGCTGAATACATGCAGCATGAGCAGTTTTTTAAATCTAAATTAGATTGCATAATTTGACATTTTAAAACAAAAACAGAATGCTCTGACTTTAGTTTTGTGAAACTATGCTACATAAAACATCTGCACGAAACAAAGAGCAGAAGCTCTGAATGAGACGCAGATTCACTCTCTGACAGCAGGTGGCGCTTATGGAACAGCAGCGATACAGCGTTTCCTTGGTTACAGCTGTAAACAAGGCAGCCAGCACTTATAAACACTACTTTAATATGCATTATACAGAGACGAGATAAAAAGAAAATACCACGTAAACGTTTCTGAAGTTCCCCTCAGAGATACATTCATATAAACTCCCACCCCCAACTGTATCGCGATTCGTTTCACATCTCAACTGATTTGAATCGTCACATATTTGTATCGATTTTCAACCGGCTCGCGGTGTATCGTTACATCCCTACAAGCAAGTAATTTTAGTGCTTCAGCTTAAACTAAATGAAAATGAGAATTGTCTCCTCTGCAACTAACTAAAAAAGGTTTTCACCCATTTCTATTTTATTGTAATGTTTCCAGGAGTTTTAGTTTTCAAACTAAACTGTGCCGTTTTTGTGTGCAGTGTGATAATTCTGCACTTACCGGGAGCGGCTACAGGAACTCCATTGATGCTGGTGAGCTCCTCAGCCGGACGCTCCTCGATCACGATGTCTCGTCCGCTCTCCAAACTCAGGTCGCAGGACGTGCTGGGCGCCGCCACGTAAAACGGTACCCCGTGATGCTTAGCCGCGATGGCCAGCTGATACGTGCCCACTTTGTTCGCCGTGTCGCCGTTGGCAACAACCCTGTCCGCTCCGACAACGACAGCTGTGCGCGCACAGGATAGTATAGTATATATATTTATTTAATGCCATGTCAGCATCAAAGGCTATTTTCATGGCAATAACAATAAAAAAAGAAATACAATAAAAACCAGCAAACAAACAAACACAAGTTATATCACACAAGATTTTTTACATTAACGTGATAAAAATTCTAAAACTTTTCCTGGCAAAATTTTACTAAATAATTCTTTAAGTGAGTTCACGTCATAAAAGAGTTTTCTCTGTACATTAAAAGCTGGACAGTCCAATAAACAGCAACATTACAGACTAACTAAAGTTGAAAAAGTGAAAATGCATAATAGGACCCCTTTAATATACAACGATTAATAATAGGTCTGATCTCTGAGGGAGGAATTTGTGTGCGCACAGGAACGTTAACATCTGACAGCCCTGATATAGACATGAAACTCAAGCGAACGGACTCTTCCTGTGTCACCTGTGATGCCTTTCTCCCTCATGGCGAGCGCTGCCATGCTGTCTGTGATGAGGGTGGCCGGGAACCCCTCCGCCACGGCCTCGTACGCCGTCAGCCGGGAGCCCTGGTTGTAGGGCCGGGTCTCTGTGCAGTACAGACGCTTCAAGCGGCCCAGTGTGTGCAGCGACCGCACCACACCTGCACAGATCAGTTACAGTCATTATCAGCCATTAATCTTAATCTCTGCATCAGTAATAATCGCGCGGACTGACCGAGAGCCGTGCCGTATCCCGCGGTGGCCAGGCTGCCGGTGTTACAGTGCGTGAGGATGGTGACCGAGTCTCGTGGGACTCCGGACAGGATGTGCTGCGCGCCGTAGTTGCCGATTTTTTTGTTGTCGTTCACGTCTCGCTCCAACATCTCCTCAATCCAGCCAATCACGCTGCAGCAGGGGCGTGGCCAAGAGACAGACACGTTAGAGGAAGATAAAAAGGAGTAATCAATGCAGCACTTCATATTTAGCCTGTTGTGATCATTTGTTTACATTTTTGCTGAAATCTCATTAAATATAATTGCTATTAACGATTTAAATTTGTCTCTCTCAGTGAATATCTGAATAACATTTATAAACAGTAAAACTGAATACATACAATAACAAGAGTAATTTCCTTTAAGGCTCTTTAAACAGATATTGCACATAGTAGAAAGGTGTGTAAATAATTTGAAATATTTTAAATACTACTTTAAAAAAAAAAGGTTTTAAATTTTTATTTTAAATATTTTAAATAATACTTTAAACATTTTCTTAAATAAAATATTTCTATTATTTGTTTTTAATATTTCTTATTCAAATCCATTCAGGTCTAAAATTTGCTCACTGGAATGAAAAACTAGATTTTTTAAATACTACTTTAAAAAACAATTAAAATATTCAAAACAAACATTTTTTTTTAATAAAATGCAATTTAGAATTAGCCTTTATGTTTTATGTTTTCTGTTTTAATTTGATTTTAGTTTACTGTTTTAGTCATTTTATGTGCTTTTTTTCTTTTTTTATATTTCCATTTAGCTTAATTTCTCATTTTTATTTATTAATATTTATTTCAGTTTTAGTTTCAGTAATTTTAGTGCTTAGCCTAAATTTAAAGAAAAATTAGAATTTGCCTTGGCAATTAACTGAAAAAAAAGAAGTTTTTCCATCTATAATATTTACATTTGATTTGATTTCAGGTTTACGTCAATTAATACACTATTTTTAATAGTTCTAGTTAACAATAACGACACTGACACTATGATCTGAGTTTCTGACCATTCAAAGGTAATAACGCTGAAAACAAAGCAGAATATACCGATCTTCTCTGGAATATCTAGTTCACCTGCTATTAAAACAAAACTCTAAATATTTTTCAAAGATGACATTTTTTCAGATATCCCAAAATCTACACATGCCGGTTAAACATCAAGTGTCCGTTGGCTTGTCACCTGTCTCTCAGCTGCTCTGTGTTTTTCTCCATGCTCTCATTCTCTGTGAACTCCATGAGCTCGCGGGCGGCTCGGCCCATGTTGACCGCCGTGGGTCGCGCAGACGTCAGGTGGCACAGAGAGTCCCTGATGAAGGACACGAGGTCGTCACCCCCAGCGCCCGCCCGCAGCTCCACCGCCAGGCTCAGGCACCCCACGATGGCCATGGCAGGAGCGCCGCGCACCTACAGGGTGAAAGGTCACACGCCACAGAGTCAGAACCAAAGGAAAGCCAGCGCTTCTCATTAAGAGCCTCTTTACCAGGAGCTTCATTTCACACGCCTGCTACACTCACAGATAATCCATTTAAATTTGATTTAACAGTTCCATTCAGCTCTAAAATCAGCTCACTGGAATGAAAAACTTGATTTTGGGGTGAAAAGCCCCATAAATGTATTCATATTGATTAGAAACACGTGAATTGGTTCACCGTTTTGAGTTAAAAGTTGTGTGCTGAAGACACACTCGAGCATAATTCACAATAAAACCCATTTTACTTTCAAAATTTTATATATTACCAGGAAACTCAATGAGACAAATGTGCAAAAGTACTACTCATTGCATTTAGTGAACGTTTTAAAGGAAAACGACATTTCCATTTAAGAGTTTCAAAGAAATTACGGAGTCATCCGGAGTTCACAGTAATCACACTTCAGAGGTTATTAAAGAACTACAAAGAGAAATTACGGTAAGCATGATGTCAAAGAATGTTCATCATTCGTTAGAACTTGGAATTCTGCCGTTAAGACCGCAATAAACAATTACCACGCCATTCTGACATCATCCAGTTCAAAGAGCTGATTAAATATGACGTCATGATGTTCACCCAGAAATGAGGATTCTCTCATTCACTCACCCTCAAGTTGTTGAGTTTCTTTCTTCTGTTGAGCACGGAAGATATTCTGAAGAATGTTGGTAACCGAACAGTGGACAGACAGTTAACCACTGACTTCAATAGAATAGTATGGAACAGTCTGGTTACCAGCATTCTTAAGAATATCTTCGTTTGTGTTCAACAGACTCATACAGAAGAAACTCATACAGGTTTGGAACAAGTGAAGGGTGAGGAAACGATGACAGAATGTTCATTCTGGGTGAACTGTCCCTTTAATAGTAGTATGATGACATCATTCTCAATTGAAATCCTATGTAAACGTTTCTTTGTACAGGCCAGTCTTGAGAATGTTTTTTCCTTAGACAAACAGAGTAAAGAGAGACTCTCTGGTGGATGACTGACCGTGACTTGACTGTCATTTCCCGTGCATTAGTAAAGCTCTCATGACAGCGGCTGGCACAGGACCAAAGCCCCCGAAACCCCGATTAATCAATAATTCATGCCAGATATTTGCAGAAACGACTATTAATGAAGCGCAGACACAGCTGCCGGAAAACCATCACCCCAACACATTAATTATGCACTAGCTACCTTAATCAAGACTGGAATGGCTGGAGAAAGAAAACTTAAAAAAAAATTTTTTTTATGGTTTTTAATTTTTTTAATTAATGCTTGAACTACAAATACAAAACAAAAGTGCCAAGGGTATACACACAAAAAAAAAACCATAAAAAGTACATATTAACTATACATGTATATATAAAACCAACAAATTAAATAAAATAATGGAAAAATGAAAGGCCTCGTTAAATCACATTAACTTAAATATACCAAATAAATACACAGTTTTTACAGCTTTTTTGTTTGTACTCTCCTTAATGGTGCTTCTATAGATCTCTAATTCCTTAAGTGCCACAGAAATGGAGAAAGAAAACTCGAGGTTTGCGAAAGACCTTTATGACGTCACAACGTGCGTTCACGCGGGACAGGAACGGTTTAAGAAGTTCCGAAGTTTCGTTCCATCACAGAAAAACAACAACAACAACACAACAGCCAAAAACGTCTATGCTACACATTCGTGCACAGACCAACAATTAACAAGATTAAACACAGTGCGTGTGAACGACCCCAAAAGGAACGGTACTCGTTAAAACTCTTCACACTTCAAAGGTGTGTGAACAATGAACGGTATAAAAAAAAAAAAAAAGAACGTCTGCCCGCAAAACAATAAACAAATTAGCTCATTAAACCACAAATACACCTAGTACATGAACAGCCAGCTATTACAGAGCGTTCCTCTAACGGTAATGCATGGCTCCCACTTGACTGTCTTTTTTATGAACATTTTTAATCTTTACATCCATAAAAAACATTCCCAACTTGCTTACACAAGCGGATATAATTAAGACTCGAGCTTGCATTAGTACACACACACACACACATCGCAGACTGAACGCAGGAGCGTTGAATGATGTGCAGCATCATTCCAGAACATCACAAAGGCCAGCTGGGATTTTATTAATGACATTACATTGTGCTTCCTTCAGTTTAATCAATTAATTTCTTATGGTTAGAAATATATTCTTCCGGTGTTCTGACGATTTGTGCTGCCTCCCGTTAAAAGCTGTTAAAGCCTTTTATTATTTTTAGAGCTGCGGCGAAGCAACAATAAAGCGATTCAGACTATTCTTAGCGACTGAATGGAAGCATCAAATGAAGAGCAGATGTTCATGACTCGGAATGAGGACGCAAGATCATGTTTCTGTGGAAAAATCCATAAAAACGCACACGCGGGCACTATTGTTCAGAATTTGATATTTTAATATTAATATTTTTATTCAAATTAATATTTTAAGTCGTGACGTCGCTCATTTTAATTTAAAGGAACGTTTCCTTCCTAAAATGAAAATGTTGTAATTCACTCGCCTTCATGTAGTCTTTCTTTTGCGGAACACAAAACTAGAATTTTAAAAATCTTCACACAGTAGAATGGGGACTCGACCAGTTGAGCGCCTAAAAATGACAAAAAAATTTTTTACAAATTCTTCCAAAAACATACCTATACAGCAGTGAATCTCAACCTTTCGGAGTACCGGCCCTCAGTCCAATTCAGAAGCATCCTCAAGGACCCCCACAACAAAACTGACTCATTTATGTATCATTTGTGTTTTTGTGAGGACCAAATGCAATCAAGTATAATTCAAGTTAGTTGACTTGTCCAGTATTTGGCCATATCATCAGCTATATTGGGGTTTTCTTTCATGGGAACATGCCATGTCAAAATTCATAAAATATATACAAAAATTCATACTTTATGCATTACGTCAAGGACCACTAGGGGTCCACGGAACCCTGGTTGAGAAACACTCAAGCAGGGCTGTACGTTAACTTTTTTTTCACATAGCACTGGTGCTACAGAGGATACAACGATATTTCTTCAAAAGCAGATCGTGGAGACATTTTAATCGTCCACGATCAAAAATCGTCATATTGCACACCCCTAACTACCAAGTATAATCAATCTCACACACACAAACAAGCACAACGAAATCACTTCACACTATTAAGCGGCTGTGTTATGAACATGCAAAACTGTATCGCAGGCGTGCTACAGTGGTAAATTTATTCATCGCACAGACCAGTATTTTCGTAGCACGTGCGACATATATGTCGCACTGTACAGCCCGCTCAAGGATAACTATAACATTTTAATAATAACTCATTTATAAACATTTATAACCTACCTTAAAGGTGTTTTTTGTCGTTTCTCGAGCATGACAGTCCCAGTCCCCATTTGCATTCATTGTTTAGAGCAGCCAGGACATTCTGCAAAACATCTCCTTCTGTATTAGAAATATTTAAGTCAGTGGCTTTAAAACAACCCAAGTATGAGTAAATGATGACAGAATCTCAATTTTCAGGTCAACTTTCCTTTTTAATTATTACATCAGACATCATATCCTTCACCGTAGACACATTAACAAATTAATGCAGCTTTTAAAAAATAGAGCCATCATCAGAACATCAGTACATACATTAATACATTAGCAGTGATTGCCTTCAGTATGCGGAGACCCTAATGAACCCGATCTGTACATGCTGGAGTGAATGAGGATGATGAAGGCTAATTGGGTTCAGACAGCATCCTAAAAGACGACGGCGGGCCGAATAAAGAGGTTGTCATGGAGACGCAGCAGCTTTATGTCTGACGCAACCAATCAAACAAACGCCCCTATAAAAGAGTTGATATAATGACTGACTGTATCACACACGCATACTGAGATCCAGACATGTGGATCTGCTCTACAAACAACAAGCGGGTTCAGATGGTGTCAGTCAGGGGTTAAAGTTGATGCCCTTCGACTCCGAAATAGACAAGTGAAAAAAACAGAGGCGACAGCTTCCCTAAAAACATGCTGATCTCAGCATCTGAATGACCAGATGTCTCCAACACCACGACACACACAAAAACCTCTTCAGTCACAAACGTACAGACATTATCACCCAGATACAAAACCTCTCACTCGATCTTATCAAACCAAACAGACCCAAAACACACAGAGGCACACATGGACAGCACCCCCGCCCCGAAACACCCGCTCTAGCTCCTCTCACGACCGGGTCTCACGCTCGCTCTGCTGAAGCATCGGGGTGCGGATAATCCGCGATTATGGGACATTATCCACATCTCCTCCATCTAACACACACTTGAACTTCTTCCCTGGAGTACTGAGATTATTCCCATATCACTGTTGTGCAGCGGCATTATCCTAATCTGGGAATGCTGGAGGACACAGATTACAATAAAGACTGCAGATTAACAGCATTTAGACGTGAGAGAGAGGTTAGGCTGAATAATGATGTCAGATAGGAGGAAATGGATGTCAAAAAAAATGAAAACACCAATTTAGTTTTTGTAGTGCGTTACATGCATGAAACTGTCAGAGGGAATGAATGACCGTCTCTAATTCTGTTCTCCGATAACCGTAGGTATATTTATCTTTAAGTATTTATATACAAAGCATTGCATGGGGGAATCTCGCTAAATAATATTTCACCAAAAATTATATTATATATACACTACCACTCAAAAGTTTGGGATCAGTAAGACTTGTAATGTTTTTTAAAGAAGTCTCTTCTCCTCATCAAGGCTGCATTTATTTGATCAAAAATACAGGGAAAACCCCCAGTAATAATGCAAAATGTTATTACAAAATAAAATTATGGTTTCTATTTTAATATATTTTAAAATGTAATTTATTGCTGTGATCAAAGCTGAATTTTCAGCATCATTACTCCAGTCTTCAGTGTAACATGATCCTTCAGAAATCAGTCTAATATGCTGATTTATTATCAGTTGTTAAACTCAAAATCAGTTTATTAAACTGTTGTGCTGCTTAATATTTTTTTTGGAACCTGTGATACTTTTTTCAGGATTCTTTGATGAATAAAAAGTTAAAAATAATAGCATCTATTTAAAATAGAAATCTTTTCTAACAATATACACTACCGTTCAAAAGTTTGGGGTCAGTAAATGTTTATTCTTTCTTTTTTTGAAAGATATTAAAACTTTTATTCAGCAAGGATGTGTTAAATTGATACGAAGTGATAGCAAATATTTATATTGTTAGAAAAGATTCATATTTTGAATAAATGCTGTTCTTTTAAACTTTTTATTCATCAAAGAATCCTGAAAAAAGTATCGCAGTTTCCAAAAAAATATTGCCAACATTGATCATTCTTTCTAATAATAAATCAGCATATTAGAATGATTTCTGAAGGATCATGTGACACTTTATACTGGAGTAATGGCTGATGGAAATTCAGCTTTGCATCACAGAAATAAATTATATTTTAAAGTATATTAAAATAGAAACCATTATTTTATATTGTAATAACATTTTGCATTACTGTTTTTTTCTGTATTTTTGATCAAATAAATTCAGCCTTGATGAGCATAAGAGACTTCTTTAAAAAACATTACAAGTCTTACTGATCCCAAACTTTTGAGCGTTATTGTATATATATATATAAAATCATCTTATTCTTAACATTTATATAAATTACATATTTATATATAAGGACCATTTGCATTGACAATTAAGCACAATTTTCCTCCATAATTCTCATTACTATAATGCATTTTATACAGTCAAAATGTTTTCCAGAATATATATGTTCTCATATATATATTCTCATTCCTGTAATCCTGTTATGAGAATCTAGCCAGACAAATTTAATTTGAATAATTTTTTAAATAAATATTTTTCAATCAATTTTAAATTTAAATGAAAAATAAATGTAGTACAGCAAAAATGTATATACTGTATACTTATTTTAAATTTTAATAATATATAATTTTTTTCACATTACAGTTTAAATGTGCTTAATTGTCAAAAAAAACAAAACAATGGTCCTAAAATAACGTATTTAAATATAATTTCTAATCTCTTTCTTTTTGGGGGCTAGAAAAATGTGATCCAGTCATGTTGTTGATGGGTTTTTGTGAGATTCCCCCTTTTTGTTTAGTGTTTGTTTGATGTTTATTTTAGCATGAGGTGAGATGAGTTTGATCTCCCTCGAAACATTCAGATGTCTGTCCTTACAAAAGAGAAAAAAGAGGAATGTTTTGATGGAGAGCAATGAAGTACAGCATTGTAAAAGCTGTAGTGTTTCCCTCTGCAGCTCCGTTATATCCGTCACGATTCGTTTATATTCTCATGATTTCAGAAGAGTTTTCCAGCAGACAGTCGCGTCACTCAGCGTATCCCTTCACTGTCTGACGGCCCGCTTTTTCCTGACTGACTCCAGCTGTGAGAGAGAGACAATGAACGACACGGCAGTGAGTTCACATGAAGATGAGCCTGAACCACAGACACTGCAGGCTTTAATATTCATATTCACCTCGTTCTCCACCTTCTTCAGTCGGCCGAGTGCGTCTTTTGCTGCATCCTGAGAAACGAGAACAGCTTTAATCTAAACGATTGTTTCAGAATCGAGGAAATTACTTCACAAAAGTGACATCCAGCTTCTGCTGTGTTTTAAGGCACATCACAAAGTTTTGATGAAACATCTGCGCATCTGAGCAACGGCATGAGTGTTTCAAGTCAACATGAAATGACATTCGCAACCCATTTTACTTCAGTAATGTCAAGCACTTCTGAGTGATATGAGAATGAAAATTAGACACCTCACAGCTTATCAATGTGATTACGCAGAACAGCTAAAGTCTGATTGTGTGTGTGTGTGTGTGTGTGGTTTGCTCACCCTGTTGCCTTGGCTGGAAAACATTTTGACTGAATCCGAGAGCCCGTGAACGAACTTCTGCAGCACATTTTCATATTCTGAGACAGACAGAGAGATCCAGTACATTACTGATTATCTGTTTTGCTACTGAACGGCTCTCATATGTAGCACTGAGAAGATCAATTCATTGTGCTGAATCAGTTTATTTAGAAGGTTCATTTAAATGAACCATTAAAAAAATGATTCACAGATTCATTTGAATCATCAATCAGTATTATTCCCAGCAGTCCATTTTATGTTTGTATTCGTAACAAAAAAAAAATTAAGTGAAATAGGGCTGTTTAAGGTTAGGTTTTGGGGTGTTTTTCCTCTTTTTTTTTTTTATTATATAAACTACTGTTGTAAAGTTTGGGATTTTTAATGTTTCTGAAAGAGGTCTCTTCTGTTCACCAAGTTTGCATTTACTTAATACAGTAAAATCAGTGAAATATTTCAATTTAAAACAACTGTTTTCTATTTCAATATATATTAATATGTAATTTATTCCTGTGATGCGCAGCTGAATTTTCAGCATCATTACTCCAGTCTTCAGTGTCACATGGTCTTCAGAAATCATTCTAATATGCTGATCTGCTGCTCAAGAAACATTTCTCATACTATCAATGTTGAACAGTTGTGCTGCCGAATATTGTTGTGAAAACTTTGATGGATAGAAAGTTCAAACAACAGCATTGACTTGAAACAGAAATCTTTTGTAACATTAAGCGCCATTTACGTCCAGCCTAGTCTTACAACCGGGTGTACGTCCAGCGCATCTTTTATTCTCCAGTACTGAAAACAGAACCGATAAGGGAGCGCTGTGAACACAGCTCTTGCAGATTAAATTTTTTGTTCGTTGTCTGTCATTCCGAAGCTTAAGTTGCATACGGGTTTCTTTAGTTTTAATTTGCCTAACTATCGATCTGACCCAGTAGACGCCATAATCCCACTCGGTCTTTCTCCCGCTTTCCGTTTTTTTTTTAATGGTGGGTGTTTACGCAGTTGGCTAGAGCAGTGCTGATTGGGGAGAACGGAGGTGCGCTCACTCTTGCCCAGGGCAAGTAAGACTGCAACTCAAGGCTGGCAGTCATGCATATGCTCTGGAACAGAGTAATATCGCGTCCACATCGCAGGCTTTGCGATTAGGAAATCGCAACGTCTCAAATCGCGATTTCGATTCGATTTCGATTAATCGCACAGCCCTAATTCTAAGTCACTTTTGATCAATTTAATGCATCCTTGCGGATTTACAGCATTAACGTTTTAGAAAATAAATCTTACTGACCCCAAACTTTAAATGGCAGTGCACATAATTTGCACCTTAGTTAAAAGTATTCTAATTGCATGTGGTACCTGTCAGTGCTGCCGGATGTTTCTCCAGGTATGATTTCTGCCACTGCAGTCGCTGACAGACATCCATGTGCTGCTTGATCAGCTCTGACGGGTCTCGTCTGTTCTTCTTATAATCGTTGATCTAAAGAGAAGCACAAAATGACTCATGATACACTCTATATCCAGTCAACAGCTCAATCCTATCACGACTGACACCAGCACACACCTTCCACTCCAGTCTCTCTTTGTCGTGGTGAAGCAGACTGAAGCTGTGCAGCTTATACTGCGGAGGAGACGAGCTGAAACCAACCAGAGACACATGTTAAACACACTCACAGAGCGACAGGAAATCAGTGCCGTACGATCAGCTTTAATGTTACCTTGGTTTAGAGTTCTTGTCGTGATCGTTTCTGGGTTTAGATCTTGGAGAAGAAGCCTGTTGGAAAGAAAAGGTTTCATGCAGCTTCTGTCCAGCTGTCTTTGTATGCAAGAACACATCCTGTGTGTAACATAAATAGCAATAATTGGCATCTCATACCCGTTCCTTTTCCCTGCTTTTCTCTCGCTCTCGGTCCTTCTCCGGTGAAGGTGTGAGCGGGTCGATGACGAGCCATTTCTCCGTCACCGGCTGCAGCTGAACTCCAGACAGCGGCTCGCGGATCTTCACACACACCTCCAGCTTCCCTCCCGTCGCCTTGCGTCCGTCCAACACCTGCAACAGCAGCACAGGCTCATGGGACACCAGCGCTCGTGTGCATGTGATACGTGTGCGTGAGTTTGTGTGAATCACTCACGTCTATAATATCTCTGATCTCACACTGGTTCTCCAGAGCTTCCAGCTTCAGCTGAGCACTTCCCACCACTTTATCTGTCTTGAAGAGACCGCTGCGGACACGCACACGCAGACGCAGACACACACGCACACACGCACTCAGACAGACAGACAGACAGACGCACGCGCAGACGCAGACGCACGCACACGCACACACACACACACACACACACGCACACACCAAATAATTAAGAGTCATTGCTAATGATAGTGACACACATGAAAAGTGACAAACTATTTTGCCTAAAGAAAACTATGCTTATTTTTAGGACTATTAATTTGAACTAATTTCATGACAATTAAAATTAAAAATTATTATTAATTATTTAAATTGTAATAAAACATTTAAGCTGATTTGTTTTAAATTCCTTTAAAAAATATTTAAAAAATGTAACATTTAAAAAAAATGACAATATTGAGAATCATCATTGAAAATAATGAGAATTTGCAACAAACAAACAAACAAACAAAAAAAACATTACAAGTAAAAAAATGCAGATACATAACTAATGAGAATTTGTGAAGAAAATCTGCTTAATTGTCACTATGCAAAAATTATGTACGTTTATTGTTTGCCAAAAAAAGTTGCAATTAATTGATCAAAAGTGCTGTTTTTTTTATTTTTTTTGTCTATGGTGGAAAGAAAAACAAAAATAGAATTTTGAGATGAAAACTCTATATAAACTCATAATTCTGGAAAAACAATACTGAGTTGTGAGATAAAACATCACAATGATCTTTTTAAGTTTTATTCTGTGGAGGAAATAAGCTTCCATAAAAACCCTAAATAATCCAAAAAATAATCTTAATTTTCCTTATGCTATATATTACTGTTCTTATGGGGTGGAATGTGATCTGGACGTGTTATTGTCAGATTCACTGTTAGTGTTGTTTAATAGGAGTCTCACCCTTTGTGTACGACCTCAAACTTGATGCCTTTGGCCTGTACCACTCTCTTAAAGCCTCTGTGATCTCGCTTGATGTTCAGCTTGAACTTCTCCTTAAACTCTGAAAACACACAGAGACTGTCAGCTAATGCCACCACCTGTTTAACACAGATCGTGTGTGTGTGTGTGTGTGTGTGTACCTGGACAGTTGGAGTTTCTCACAGTGCTGGTTTTGTCTCTCTGAGCTTCTTCCTAAGAATCAAACACACACTGTTAGATGCCAATAGCATGTCTGCGTGTGTAGAAGAGAGTGAAAGTGTTGCGTACCGCACTGGGGAACGGGAACTCAAAGCGCACACTCGCATCCAGATCGTTGCCTGAGACTCCTGGAGAAAACAAAGAAAACAACATTTGCAGTCATTTGATCACAGAATTTCACTTTTTTTTATTCATATATAGACACTACTGTTAAAAAGGTTGGGGTTAGTGAACATTTTTTTGAAAGAAATGAATAAAAACATCCCCCAAACTTTTAAACGGTAGTGTATTACTATTTCAGAGACAAATCAGCCTTTTTACAGCTTTATGACACACAGGCACACGTTCACATACACACCTGGAGGAGCAGGCAGGTTGATTCCTTTCACGACGGTCAGCACCATGTCATTGGACGTCAGGGTAGGAAAGATCCTAAACACAGAGATGAAGACATTTAGAGAGTCTGTGTAGGACGTCCTCACTGACAGATGTGTTGTTGTGTGTGTGTGTGTGTGTGTGTGTGTGTGTTCTTACTTGACAGAGTTGAAGGTGCGCTCCTCTGTGTGGAATTTGGGAACTGATCTTCCTTTAGCGTGAGCTTTCTTCAGCACTTCAATATTACTCATGCATTCCTCAGCCAGCTTCTCAAACCTACACACACATATATTTTTTTATCATGGGGGCTTTCCATTTACTTGTAATATTTTTATACAGAGCTAATAACCTTTACTCGGCAGCAATCCTTAAACCAAACCCTCAGCATGTTTTTAATACATTAATACGTTTTTCTCATGAGGACTGTTTGCTGCTCCCACAATGTTAATTTCAGGTTTTACTATACATGTGGGCACATTTAGTCTAAACAATGTAGGCAAAATCTAACCGACACACAAACAAATACACTTTAAGGCTCACAAGCTCAGGAAATTACATTTTAATTTAATATTTATGTTTAGAACTTGGATTCTGATAATTATTACATATTTGTAATTAATAAAATTAACTATTAATTCATTTCATTTATACCTTTTATACCATTAATATGTAAAAAAAAAAAAATATTTTATAAGTATTAAATAAATAAAAAAGCAAAAGCAGTACTTTAAAAAAAACATGAATTTATAAAAATTAGATTTTTGAAAAATTGCATTTTTAATGCTTGTTTAGGTAAACATGATACAATCTGGCTGTTTTTGATTTATATACAACCTTTCGAAGGTTTGGGAAAAAAAGTATATTATTTATATGACTTATAATAGAAATCTTCTGTAAGATTCTAAATGCATCAATTTAATGCATCCTTGCTGAATAAAAGTTTTCATTTCTTTTCAAAACAATATTCAAACTTGTGAACAGCAGTGTACACTCATCACTCAAACCACACACCTGACAATTCTGCTTACCTGATGACGATTTCTAATAAATGTATCATCAAGATAAATGAAAACACACACCTGGCAGTTTCAGCTAGGTTCCCCACATGAGTGAACTGCTGCGAGTACGCCAGGCATTTCTGGACACAAGTGTTAGAAAGTCATTTAGACTGTAAATAAAGCATGCACTTCTCTTGAATTCTGTTTGGATGAATCAGATCTCTGTTGTTCAGCTGGTCGTGTGTGTAATAACCTCGTGCTGCTGTTTGAGCTGCGCCATCAGTTGAGTGTACTGCTCAGATGAGCGCGGAGAGAGAGCGGACGAGCGTGAATGAGACAGTCTGTAGTCGTCCTCACTGACCGGAGCGGCCGGCACCTGGACGCCAGACAATCAACTTATAGCACTTTCAGAAATCGAATAAAAACGTAAAAAGCATAACCACACACGATGTGCATCATTTATTCATCATTTTGTAGAAGTAGAGTTTAAAAACCTTGCTGTATTTTTTGTAGAAAAGGTACATCAGCATCTTGCTCTGACCAAAGTGACTTGATAATTACGACTTCGTAACTCATAAACACAAAATTCCCAGGAGGTTTCAAATGCACCATCAAATTTAACGTCACTGTTTCGGTGCGTCAGTGATTCACAAACCTTGGTGATGTCCACAGGAAGTCCAGCCTTGGCGGCAGTGATCATGGGCTCTAGGCCTTTAGCGTTTCTCAGGTGCTGAGTGGCTCCCTGCATGTCCTTCATCTCTTTAGAGCGCAGCGCGGCCTTCACGAACTGCTGCCTGCGCATGGTCAGGAAATCCAGCTGCTGCTGGGCTGCACAACAACACACACGTCACACAACAGTGCGTACATGTTCATAGTGATGTCCAAAAAAAAAAAATCTAATTTAAAATATTTGTCAAATTTAAAATAAAAATCTGCATTCGAATTTTAGGTGTGCGTTAAGGAGGCAGCCTTATCAGTGGCACACGAGATGCGATGACGATGACGATGTAAGTGTCGTTGCATTTGAATGTTTTTCTTAGCCTATCCAGTTAAAGCCACTAGATGAGAAAAGCTTTTCTTCACCCTAACTGAAATTATGCATTTTAAATTTGAATATAATTCGAATTTTGATAATATTTAAGTACAAAATTCGAATTTAGTTTTTCAGCCATTTTGACAGCCCTACACGTTAATGGCGATATATAAACGCACATCTACCTTTCCCTCCTAGTTTGGGGGCGTTTGTGGAGCCGGTGGGCGTCCCTGCGGCGGACGAGGCTTTTGGAGGAGCGGGAGCTCTGGATTTCTGAACTGCAGGCTGAGCTGTTGGCTACACGGAAACATAGAGATGAAGAATCAGACTGAAGCACAGTTTCCAGATGTTTCGCTGAACTTTGACGCTACCTTCTGTGCGTTCTCGTCTTCATCTGCGTCCTGATTGGCCAGTTTCATGGCTGTCTCCAGGACGCCCATAAAATTCTGCTGGCCGCCTTCAGTGCCCTGCAGTGGAGGACAACCTGACATGCACAAACATTAACAATGTCAGTGTTAACTATCTACCACATATATATATATTTTTTTTTATTCCATGGCAGAAAAAAAACTGAATTGTAGGAAGTAAACTCAAGTAATTATGACTTTTTTTCAGAACTGAAAGAAAACAAGTCTGAATTGTAAGAGAAAAAATGTTTATTTACATTTTTATATATATATATATTACCAACCCCAGACTTTTGAACAGCCGTGTATGTAATTACATTAATTATTTAATTATAAATACATAAATAATCAGCACACCACGCTCTAACATTTACAAACACCTCTTGATATTTTTAGATTTTAATTAACACATTATATGGTGCACTTTTTTAACCTTCACTGGTTAGGTGTTTCCATCCAGCGTTTTTTTATGCGATGTTCCAAAATGCGCACAAAAATAGGTGGCTGGAAACATAGAAGACTGGAGTAATGATGCTGAAAATTCAGCTTTGATCACAGGAATAAATGTTTAATATAAAATTATAAATGTTTAATAAAAATTAAAAATTAATTTAAAGTTTTCTTTTATAAGATTTTCACATAGAAAACCGCTATTTTCAGCCATTAAATTCAAGTTCAAAAAATTGACCCTTTTGACTGGTTTTGTGGTCCAGGGTCACAATTGTCAGAAATTTGGCTTTTGCTGGAAACAAGTAAACAAGCGTTACCTGGTGGAACAGGAAGTTCTGCCAGATTCACCGGCCGTCCTGCTTTATGAGCTTTAATGGCATCTTGATATTGCTGAAGTCAAGAACACACACACACACAAGAGATGAATGAAATGGCACCTGTTGTTTTATTGAAGTGAGTCTTCGCGCGTGTTACCTTGATTATGCGCTGGTGCATGCGTGCTTTGCGGTCGTCTCCTTTGCTCTTGGCGCTCTCTGCGGCTTCTTTATATTTGTCCATGCGCTGCTGTAAGGCCTCGGCGACGCTCCGGGGAGCAGAGAGAGCTGAAACACACATATATGCTTTCATTTACAGCATAACTGATATCTTGACTGGGTTTGATCAGTGTGTGGGATGTCAGGTTTACACACACATATTCTCACCTGTGTCTGGGGCAGCAGTGGGTGCAGCAGGAGGGGCGGCTGGTTTAGAGGACAGCTGAGGAGGGTTAGAACGTGGCACTTCAACCTCTCCTGAAAGACAGAGACACTTTCAGCAAACTCAGACTAACCAGAATGAAACTGATGTGAATGAAGATCTGTGAGGTAAAGCTGTACCAGGAGGGGGCGGCAGTGAGCTGATGTCCACAAACTCCCCTCTGTCAACACTCTCCACCACTGAGTCCAATCTCTGTGAGCAAGGGAGAGACGGAGAGCAAGTCACATTTCATTTTCCCAGTTATCGTGTTTAATTCTAATCTAGTGTTGTGTAGGCAGATGCATCTACAATCCATAATAACAGACCTACACTTCTGTACAAACGTTTGGGGTCAGTAAGAGTTTGAATGTTTTTCAAATAAGTCGGTTCTGGTTTCTATGTGAATATATTGTAAACTGTAATTTATTGCTGTGATCAAAGCTGAATTTTCAGCATCATTGCTCCAGTCTTCAGTGTCACATGATCTCCAGAAATCAGTCTAATATGCTGATTTGCTGCTCAAGAAACATTTCTGATTATTATCAATGCTGAAAACAGTTGTGCTAAATCATTTCTGTGGAAACTGGGATGCACCTTTTTCAGGTTTATTTGATAACCATAAAGTTCAATTAACAGCATTTATTTAAAATAGAAATCTTTTGTAACATTATAAATGACTTTACCTGTGTCATTTTAGTATCAGAGTTTTTTTTTATATTTTGAATTAGTTTTTATATTTTCCATTTTCATTTTTATAGTTTATTCATTTTTAAGTTTTACTTATTTTAGTACAAGATAAACCAAATGAAAATGAGAAATGTTGCCTCATTTATTTCAAGTAACAAAATTTTTTTTCCCCCTAATTTTAGTCTATTTATAATATCTAGTTTATCTGTAATAACTCTGGTCTTTATTGTCACTTTTGATCAATTTAATGCATCCTTGCTCAATAAAAGTATTAATTTCTTTTTAAATAAATAATCGTACAGACCCCAGATTTTTGAATGTTAGTGCACATGAACAAAATGTGAATGGCAACAAAGAAATGAATGTGAATGTGTGACTCTGTTGCCTGAATTAAACATGTTAATCATGAATTCGTGAAACAGACTCATTCACCTTGGACACTTGGTAGAGTTGTTTGGCTTGATCAGTGTTTCCACTCTGTTTGGCCTTTAAGGCTGCCAGCTTATACTGTCTCTGTCTGCTTAAAATACTCGCTTTGAGCTCTGAAACACACACAAACATGTGTACGGCAACAGCTTCACAGTGACAGTTGAATGATAACATCAGAGTGTGTGTGTGTGTGTGAGAGGGGATATGGCTGGCGTGTCGGGTGTTACAGCCGTCGCTCTTTGTGACGGAGGCAGTAGCAGCTGAGGTTTGGATGGAGCGGCTGGCGGGGCGTCCTGCACTGGCTTGACGTTGGCCATCTGTGGTGGCGTGTTTGCTGGAGCAGGCTTTTCTGGCTCTCTGATTGGCTCGGCCTGCGGAGCAGCGGAGGGTTTTCCACCGGTGGCGACAGGAGGAGGAATCTCATCTTCATCGATGGGTTTCCCCTTTTTAACCAACGTCAACATAGACTGTAGAGTCTAAAAACAAAGAGAATATGTTACCGACCGCTCTGAAACCCTCAAACATGAGGAAAAACTGACCGGGACTGAGAGTTTGTAATGTCTCGGATACTTGATGCATATAACACATCGCCTTTGGTGATATATCGGTTGATCGCTATCTGAGACATCACAAACTTTCAGTCTTTTTTCTGTTTGACTGATAAAAGGCGTGAGCAGGACTTTTATTTTGACATCACCTGAATGCAGAAGCATAGGACTTCCTGTTCTCGGTCTTCATTAGTTTACTGTCTTTGTTTACCAGTTCTGTCTAACAATAGAATGGCAAATGCTATAATACTTCATAAATATGCCATCGATATTTAGGAAATACACATGTATATCATGTAAACAAGTCTTTAAATACCTGGTAAACATTTATTTCCAAAAACCTCGCAAACTTTGGAAAATCCAGCTGAAGAGCACATTGTATCCTTCGCGCATGACATTGCACTAGTATATTTTATTATTGCTATCTAGTGTAGCATAAATGTAGTAAAAAATAAAATATTAAATTTAAATATATACTAAAAATATAAATATATACTATATAAAATATAGTATAAATTGTTTATTTTACAGATATTTTTAATCAAGTTCAAATTCTTCTTTTTCTTCAAATTGATACATTTTCAAATAATTTACTTCTAATAGTGTGTAAAATAAATGTAAATATGATTGCAGCAATAGTTACACTTGTGTTATTCACTATAGGTAAATTAAAAGATCTAATTTATTTCAAATTATTTTTGTAAATGTTATGTAAAATAAATAAATAAAAATACAATTGCAGTATTTGTTATTCTGGTGTTATTTACTATGGTAAATTAAATACCCTTCTAATTTATTTAGAATACTTTTAATAAATACCATGTAAAATAAATATAATTGTAGTAATTGTTATGCTTGTGTTATTTACTATTGTTAAATTAAATGGTCTTCTAATTTATTTGTATATTTTAGTAAATATTATATAAAATAAATATCATATATGGCCTTTATATCAGCCACCCTGCTCTCTAAGATAGTAGCATCAGTTATCAGAAAGTCCATATCGGTGGACCTCTAGTCTTGGATCTGTCTCACCTTCAGTCCGCGGTCGTATCGCCGTGCTTTGCTGGTCTCCCCCGTGGCCTTGGCGTTGGTAATGGCCGTTTGGTACATGTCCAAGCGCTCTTGCAGGCGAGCCTCCAGGCTGGTAGGTGCATTCTGGGATGCGGGCGCTGCATTTGAGCGTTGAGGCGGCACTGGTGACGGAGGGGGTTTCCTGACCCCTTGCTCCTCATCGTCTTCCAGCACCTCATTCAACTCAGCCTGAAACACATAAAACCACTACAATCAGAAACGTTTCCTGCGAGAAAGTTGTGCCACCTGTAGAGGACGTGAAGACAAGAAGGTTTTTGTCTTACCAAGAGATCAGCATCGTTCTCCAAATCCCCATCATCGTCTCCGTCCTCGTCCAGGTCTTTCATACAACGGGCTGCCATGCGCTCAATGTCCTCCATGGGCACTGGAGCTACATGACGCAAAAAAAAGAGAGAAAGATGACGAAAAAATGCCAAGGGTCAAGGTTTGGGTGCTAAGCATGGCTTGCTGCTGGTAGAAGGCAATATCTTCACCTTTTCCTCCAGGTTTCTTGGCCGCTGCGCCGCCCCTCCCTCCTCCTCCTCCCATCAATGCCAGAAGCTCCGCCTCCAGCTCCACATCATTTCCTCCAGAGTCATCCAGCCCATCGTCAGGAGCCAAATCCAACAGCAATCCCATCTGATTGCATGTGAGGATGGAGAGCCAGGGTTATTTTAGTATCTTTGAGATACTATTTTAATTTTTATCACTGTTTTATCATTTTCATGTCATTTTAATTTCAGTTAAAGTTTTAGTAATTTTGTTGTGTGTCATTTTTTATTAGTTTTTTTATATTTTTATTTCCGTTTTAGTTATTTTAGTACTTCAAGTTAAACTAAATAAAAAAGAGAAATGCTTTAAAATAAAATAGGTACGTTTTTATTTTATTTTATTTCTATTTCAAGTAACAAAATGTTTTTTTTTACGTTGTTAGTTTTAGTTGATTGGAGAGCAACTGATTTATTGATTGTTTTAACATATGAACTTGCAAATTCAAAAGCATTTTATGCACCTACATTCACTTAATATATCTATAGAATATTTCCTATCTTTTCTTTTGATTTTAGTTTTTCTTATTTTATTATGGTACTTCAGGTGAAAGTAAATGAAAGATACAAATGCTGCCTTTGCAACTAGCATAATTTTTTTCTTTTTGATATTTTATTTTGGTTAGTGTTCATTTTATTTCAAGTAACACGTTTTTTAAATTAGGTTTTAGTTTTAATTTACAATAGTAACCCTCAAAACTGATTTATAGATTGTTTGAACATTACATATGAGCTGCTGAATATTTTGCACCTACATGTGTGGCGCTCAAAGTGAATGCAGTTTAAGCACTAAATAATTTGAGAAGTCCTACATGTCACCACAAGTCTGTCATTTTCATGAAATATTATAAAGTAAAATAAATACATAATTAATAAACATGCACAGTCTTCTTGACTCTCATCTTGTGTATTACCTGTTTGGCCTTGGAGGCCCCCTGGCCCTTCTGCGGAGGGTTCCGGCTTCGACTCATTTTCTCCACAGGTCCCTCAAACCTGGAGTGAGAATGATTCATTAATAACAGCCACTGCATCAGGATCAGCAACATCAACCACACCAGAAAGCGTCACGGCGCATTCCTACACCATTACGTGATTCATGACGTTTGTATTTGCATAATCCACGCATTGACAGAATCGACGGCAAAATATATATATATTTAATGGTTTTATATTTACACATGAACTGACTATGAGATCAACGGGAATGTTTCAACAGTATTTATCCTGCTAGTGTTGTTACAGGTTTAAACAGGTCAACCCAAAGCACATATTTAGCTGATTTTGCACCAAAACTGATGGAGGCAAAGCCCAACGAAGCCATACAATAAATATCAGATCATTCATAATATAAATCATAAAGTAAACAACCAAGTCAGTCAAAGTGTCTGCTAGCAAGGAGGCTAATTCTTACATCAGACTCTATTTACTAATAATTTGAACGCGATACCTCGATCATATGTTCCTCCGAGGGCGGGTTACGTGGTGAATATCTGTTCCGTTAAGAAGAATAAGCTGCTTGTGATTAAGTTTTTGCACCAGAGTGTCATTAATACAGAGATAAACACAGATCTGCACCGCTGTCAATGTAGATTCAGCACTTCCTGCTTTTCGACAGGTTTCCCATAGCAACGGCAGAGGCTCGCGCTTTACGGCACGCGGGAACGGCCCACAACCCAGGACTTGTAGTTCAACCGTTAGCGTGTCGGTGTATTACGATTTTAAATAATTTATTTAACATTTGTGATGGTTTGTCGTGTTATAGTTTGTTTTCTCTGAGAAGAGGTGCAGAAATAGTTTACTAAACATGTCGTCATGAATCCTTCGCGCGCTTATTTGACTCAGTTTAATGTCTGTCAGATAAATGATACGTAATTTATAGGTTTAAAACGGGTTATTTGATTTGTTAAGTGATTCATAATTGGTTATAAGAAATTATTTTACAAAATTGGGTTTGAGAAAAATTGAATTAAAACATTTTAACAAACAATCTACAGTATGCAAATTAGGTGTGTCATTAACATGTTTGAACTTTTATTCATTTAGTTGAATCTGGACTAAATCAAGACAATGGCCAAAAGAAAATCGAAGACGACAGGTACCTTGGACCCGTGTAAACATAATTATCAGTCATTCACACTACCAGCTTGATTAGAGCTATATTACATATTTCATTTTCAGTAAATAGAGAACATGTTGATGCTATTAAATGTATTTTAGCAGAGTTCAAAACCCCTAAGAGGACGCAGCCCAGAGTGAAACGACAGAAAAGCGCTGAAGAAACAAACCTGCAGCCTGAAGACGAAAACAAGGTGATTTTTCTCTTGATTACATATCAATAACATTTTAAGGAAATTACAATATGCTTCGATTTCACTTTTCTGCTATATTTGTGTTTCGTTTGCTGATTCACATAACTCTTTACCTTAATGTCTAGACACCAGAATCAGAAAACAACAATTCCCACAATGCATCATGCTCAGACAAGCTGGATGAACATCAGCCTGGACAGAGCACATTACAAGTCACTCAGACAACAGAATTCCCTGTAGATCCGTGTTGTTCCTTGGAAGAAAAAACAAGCCATGATGATAATGTTGAGCGTGGAAATGGCACAAATCCACCTGAGGTCTCTCAAGAGATTGAACAAACTGCAGCGATCCCAGTACAAACCCCAGGACTTGACAATAGCAACAAATACACTCTCTCCAGACCTTTGAATGCAGAAGCTATTAATGTAGATCAGCCCGACATAGAGCTAGAGGATGAAGAAAGTGAATTCACAAGCAATTCAAACCGTGAATCTCAGAAGGTCCCAGATGACTGTGACTCTGAATTACCATCAGATGAGCATCAATCCGAGAAAGAATTGTCACATGAGGAAAATATAGCCACTGAACCAAAGATGGGTGAACGATTAGGGTCTTCAGACATCGTAGCTGAGACCTCAGTTGACCAGATAGGAATTCAGATGCTTGAAGATGCAGGTTCTGCAGATCCTCTAGTAAAGAGGAAAATAAGAAAGAGGATGGGAATGTGTTGGCTTGGAGAAAAGAAGAAGATGCTCAAAGGACAGCCGACTAGAGGGAATGTGTTTGGAGGAGGTCAAGAGAACGAGGCGGGGCAAGTTACTAATGATGAGCCGCTCATGATGAGTGACAGTGTAAAAAATGATAGCTCCATTTCCCTTGAACAAGAGAGAGTCACTGAGTTCGAGGTTTCTGTGCCCTCCTTCCCAGCCTCTTGCCCATTGGAAGATATACCTGTACAGGAGGAACGGGAGCATCCTGATGTTCAGTATGGGAATGAAGTTCAGATATTGGTGGAATGCATGTCAAGCAAGCAGATTACTCATGAAACTGACAATACGATCCCATCCCATGCTATTGATGATGATCTAAACCCTCTCGAGCAAAATGAAATCAAATGCATGGAGCGAAATGCTAATGAATGCAACATTAGAGAAGATAGAGAAGATGTCACAACTGAGATTGGCACTGAAGTACCTGTAGACTTTGCAGAAGTTTGCAAGGACTCAGTCGATGATTCAGCTCAAGGTGCAGTTGTGATAGACAGTTCACTTGAAGTCCTCAAAGAGGCCAATGAAGCCTCAGCATCCACTTCTGAGGTTGCTAACCATTTTGGAGAAGAACTCGTAGTGGGAGGCAATGAGATGGAGCAGTGTTGTCCGTGTGAATGTGACATGAACAGTAACCACACCAATGAGCAGTCTGTGGAGCTCATGGATATCGCGGCGAATGAGACCATCAGTGCACCTCCTGTAATCCGTGAGACAGAAGATAAGTGTGAGTCTTCAGACTTTACTATGGTTGCCGTCACAGTCACAGCTGAGAACAAGGCAGACTGTGAGGACAACAGCGTGTCGAGTTTGTCCCTAGCTGCAGCTCCACCGGGTGGTGCAAATTAAGACGTGCAAGTGAGTTATTCTTTTGAATGAAGAACATACACTTAAAGTAGGGGTGTCCAAACCTGCTCCTGGAGGGCCGGTGTCCTGCAGAGTTTAGCTCCAACCCTAATTAAACACACCTGAACCAGTTAATTAAGCTCTTCAGACTGGAAACTTCTATGCAAGTGTGCTGGTGCTAGTTAGATCTAAACTGTGGACACCCCAACTTAAAAAAACAGTCATATCATTCCAGAACCCGGTGTCCTGCAGAGTTTAGCTCCAACCCTAATTAAACACACCTGAACCAGTTAATTAAGCTCTTCAGACTGGAAACTTCTATGCAAGTGTGCTGGTGCTGGTTAGATCTAAACTGTGGACACCCCAACTTAAAAAAACAAAACAGTCATATCATTCCAGAATCATATTTCAAAAAGATATACTGCAGAATGTCGAAAGTGCCCTAAAGGGCTTTTAACCTCTAGAAAAGTCATAAAAGCACCATAGAAATAGTCCATACAACTTCTATAAGATAGCTTTGGGTGAGAAAAAAAGGAAGGTGTTAGTTGACACAAAAATCAGCGTTGATTGACATCAATGTGCCTTACTTGAATTTAATTTGATTTGAAATTAGTTGAAGGGGATGAAAAAAGCCTTCTAGCTTCGTAATGATATGAGAGATTGAGTAAATTATGACAGAATTGTCATTGGTGTGTAATATTCCTTTGAAATACCAAAACCACTTGGATTTTTTTTATTTGACTTTAGTTTTAAGTTTACAGTAAGTAGTGTAGGTTTGATGATTATTAAAGGTGTCCAAAACTCTCACATGTCCTTTAAAGTCAGCATTAAGTTACTAAAACGGAGCTGTATCATCAGTCATTTGCAGAGCCTCATCTGAGTCCTGTCGCTGAACCGGATCCCTCCAGCCCCTTATCCATGCACTCCGTGACCGATTCCCAGCTCAACAACATCCCTCTGAGGTGAGACGAGTGTGAACCATTGTCTTTGAATGTTACTGGAGTTCTGTTTAGATTTCTAGAAGCTGGTTAGATTTCAGACTTTATTGTTTTGGACACATTAATGTGCTGTACAGTACAAGGCGTTTTTGTCCATTTTGCTTGTTTACTTCTGCTCAGTTTGGAGGATCTCTCGATCTCAGAAGCCTCCTGTGATCTGGAAGATGCCACAGAGCTTGTATGTGGCCTAACCAGAGATATTGCCTATATGAAGTAAGCCATGATTTGCAGAGGTCTTGAGCATTTAAACACTTAAACAAAAAGCATGATTCTGAGTTTGTGATTTACTCTGTGAAGCATGTTTACTATATTAAATAAAACGGTAAATAATTTGACCATAAACCATCATAATTTTGATGTTTTATTGCTCTTTATCTTGCAGTCAGATATTGATAGATGCACGCAGGAAGATTGGATTTGGGCAGCAAGGCAGAACACCTCCAAGACCACCACCCCACACTCAGAAATATAGGCATAATGCCAACAGAGTCGGAATATATTTTTCTGCATGATATAGTGTACAGAAGAAAAGAAAAAACATGTAAATAAAAGAAAGAACACTGGATAATTTGCATTGACGGGTTCAGAGTGATTTAGCTGTAGTCAGTTTTTTCAGCAGCCACTTGTTCACAACAGTTCGGTTACACTTGTTTGAAGTCTGTCTTCAGTAAGTAAAAGCACAACTTGCATAGAGTTGCTCTGTTTTAGCAAGGCAAAAGCGAACACTGTTCTTAGGAGGTTCAAGCAAAGAAGTAAACATTGTAATTCTGTCGGTCACAGAGTGTGACCCCTAGACTGAAGGGTCGTAACCTTAGCAACCGGTCTTCAAAGTTCCAGTCATAAATCGGTCCAAATTCCTGTTTGCAATTCACATTCTGCATAAATAAATGACTCTTTCCTGTTGCTTCTGTGCGTGTTTGATCGCCAAATCATGTTTTGTAAAACTAGACATCAAAAATGGTCAAACTAAACCAATTTCAGTTGAAGTGCTGTGATATAAACACAGGTTTCCAAAAGTCCACTGAACAGGTTTCTATTGTTGATTTTCGTCTCTCTTTTTTTTTTTTTCCATCACGAAGTACACTATAATAATTTTAAACAAATATGTACATGAGTTTCCTGATGCTATGAGAACAAAACCTGATGATCATGTTCTCAAACAATTAAAGAAATTATAAATGTAGTGGAGAGAGAAATAAAACAGAAGACTGAGTTGTTTGTTATTGATGCAAAACACAGGCAGCTCTCAAGAGAAAAACACACCTAAATATTAACATTAAAAGTTTTATAATATATATATATATATAACCACAGAGCATCGCAATAAAAGTATTATATCAAATACAAAAGATTTTTCTTTATCAAATGAAACATGAAAGAGCTAGTTTTTGGCTCGACGGAGTGGTCAAACGCGGTTGCACCTGTAGCGAGCCTATTGGCTTGTGAACAAGTTTGTTTAAAAGAAAAATAGTGAAACACACAACACCACTGCACACAATTTAAAGAAATAGGAGGAAGACAAAATAAAAAAACGTGCAAAGTCGAACCGTGGAAGCACACATGCATGCAAACTTACACACAAGCCAAATTTACGGATCAAACAATTAAAAGTTAAAACTTAAATATTAAAACCTCTCGTAAAAATGTTTATTCAAATCTTCTCGTTTACCGTGGCCAGGTGTTCTGCGGGTCAGAAATGTCCGGTTCACCATGTTGCCTTGGCGTACACGGAGTTGTAAGTTTTATCCACGAGCGGGCTGAATCTCTTGGTGTGCGCTTTGGCCCCGGTGGCTCCGCACAGGGGACACACGTACTGGTTCAAGTAGGGGCACATCACGTTTCCAGCGCGGTCTTTTAAGTAGTGTGAGGTGAACACGGCTTCAGTCTCTCCGTTGTGTTTGCAGAAGCTGCAGAACTTTTTCTCGGACGGGCTACAGCTGGTGCTCCTGCCGCGTTCCGGGCTTCTTTTCTCCGTCGACACGGTCGTGTACGCTCGCGTCAGGCCGCTTGGAGACTCCAGGAGCGCGGCGGCGGCGGCTCGCTTGCTCTTGTCATCGTCCGCGTCTGACTGCTCTGCTGGCCGCTGCATGCCTCTGATCATGCCTGCCAAACCCATGTAATCCTTCCAGGGCTGAAAGTCCTGATTTTTAGACTCCATTGATCCATGCGCAGACAGGATGTAGCGGAGAAGAGAAAAGGACATGTCATTCACCGAGCGCGACTAAAACATGAAGCACGCGCTGAGCACGCCTGGGTTTTTAAAGGGCGGACGTCACGGCAGGAGACCAATTAGTGTCCTCTGAAACAAAAAACGATTGGTAGAGGAGATTGGGGAAAAAAATAAGATTATTTTAAAACTGTGGAGTTGTTCGTGTAACTCCATGTGGGGTAAGTTGTCACATCGAGAGCCCGTTGTTTATTGACTGATTGGAGAAGACCACGTTTTCGAAATATTGTATGAAGTTAAAAGAAAACCTGTAAAATTGGCAAACAAAAATGATTTAATTCTGTAAAATTTAATAAACAATATGGGATACAATTGTTGATAAAAAACAATATGGGACAACTTGCAAAGTATTTTATGAAAAATACTCAACCTTTCAATACGATTCTTCCTTGTAAATTGGTTTGGTTATCTCATCTTATAGCAAAAACATTATGGTGGATTAATAATCTTATTTTAAAGTAATAGTGGAATCAAATATCAACAGTTGCAGCAAATGCACTCACCCTCAGGTCATCCAAAACGTAGAAGAGTTTATTTCTTCATGGAAACAGATTTGAAGAAATTTAGCATAAAATCACTTGCTCACCAGCGGATCCTCTACAGTGAATGGGTGCCATTCACTGGAAGTGTTCATATGAATTATGGCCTCATTTTTTTGGCCAGAAATGACATTTACAGTTCAAATGTCTAAATGATGGATTTTTTTTTTTTTTTGCAAACTAGCAGCTTTTCACTTTACAACATGTTAACTGATGGACTGGAGTGGCGTGGATTATTGTGATGTTTTTATCAGCTGTTTGGACTCTCATTCTGACGGCACCCATTCACTGCAGAGCATCCATCGTTGACCAAGTGATGTAATGCTACGTTTCTGTTCTCAGAATCTGTTCTGATGAAGAAACAAACTCATCTACATCTTGGACGGCCTGACGGTGAGTACATTTTCAACAAATTGAAACCAACATAAAAAAAACCCACTGAGAAGCATTTGTGGACTTCTGAGTTTAATACAGTACTTCAAAAGTAGACATTGTGACAACTAGCCCCGGTCTCAGCTGCAGTGTACAAAACAATATATGCAATTATTGATCTGATGTGTGCATTTGTGAGAGATTTTTTATTTGTTAGAAAGTGAAAACAATACAAGGTAATTCTATACATATGGCATTTCTTTATTACATTTTTAAATTCTTCACAAAAAAAAACGGAATATTTCCAGCTCATGAAACTGTTCAGTGTGTAAACTAAAAGTGCCAGTCTGTGTTGCGCTCATCAGGTGACTGAAGGATCTGTTCTGACCTGAAACAGAAAATGACACTCTTGAGTCCACCTGTGCTCTGAAATGAATGGTGCATGAGGTACAGTGGCAGATAATAGACCTGTAATAGGGCAGTTTAAGAGCCGAGTACAGCTCAGGGGTGTTCGGGGTCATGACCATGTTCTGACGGGACCCAGGCGTGACCTCTGACCCCTCAAATGATGGTGTGGCACATGGAGACAGAGAGAGCTGCTCCGGTACTGCTGCACCTGCACACACACACACACACAGCTGCATTATAATGTGATATTAGTGCTATAAACATGATCTGTGTGTGCGCCGTGTGTCTGTGTACGTAGGTCGCTGAGCGCTGTGCTTTCTCTCCTGTTCCACTGCGAGGTTTTCTTGACGGGAGAAAAACTGAGGAAGTCTGACTTCAAACGGGAGGCTTTCTGCCGCTCAAACTCACATCTCTGAAACACACACACGCAGATTAATTGCTGGGGAACAATTATGATTATGAAGTATTACAGGAATAATTCACCCAAAATTAAATCCTATTATTACTTATGCAACCCATATGCTTTTATTTTTTTCTGTGGAAACTAAAAGGGAAATTAGGTTATCAAGCACCTCATACAAAAGATGCATTATTTTTATGATTTTTTTGTGTATTTTTTTATGCTTGACAATCCCCTGGTCGTCACTATAAACTGTTGCTGTAGCAAAAAGCGATTTAAGAAATCTTCAAAATGTCTTTTGTGGTCTGTAAAGTGAGCTGGGTGAATTGTAGAGTAATTTTTGCAAACTTCATTTACAGAAACTAGGAGGATCATTAAAAATTTTTGAATTTGAATTTAAATAATTAATATAAGTAATATAAAAACAACCAAATATTTTTTAAATAATTAAAATAATTTAACTCATGAATTCTGTTCAATTTTAATTGCCAAACAATTTTAGTTTTTTTTTTTTTTACTCACAAATAGCAATTTCCACCTGATAAAATATTTGACTGCTTGACACAATTAGAAAAATTTATATTCATTATAAAAATGTCCATGATTTTAATATTTTATTAATTGCCATGACTCTAGGTCCAAAAATCACACCTTTAAAACTCCCTCATCTATATCCAAGTTTTTCAAGAACTTGAAAACCCTTGAGATGGTGAATACATAAAAAATTACAAATCTTATTTTGTTGTCGTTTTATCATCTCATTTTAAAGCTTGTTTTGTCTCATTTTAAATAATTTTTTAGGTATTATTCAGCCCCCTTGGAAGTGTGCTGAGGCCCACCAGTGGGGCCCGGACCCCTGGTTGAGAACCACTGCATTAGTGGATTATGTTGAAAATTTAACGTGATTCTCTCCACCAGTGATGCCACTGCTGGGACACCTATTAGGTGAACTGACTTCATACATCCATTAAAAATCTAAAGATGTGCAATAATGACGAAGTTAGAAAGATAAACACATGTACACGCAAAAATCAGTGCGAGTTTCTATCACCTCGTGACCCAATCGGATAGCAGCTTCAGTGAAGGCATGCCTCTCTTGCTGGAAGCTCCGCCTCTGCCTGTTAAACTCCTCCCAGTGGTCCTGTAGCCGCTCCCACTCCTCCAGATAGTAGCAGTCCATCAGCACAGCGGGGAGGGGCGGAGTTACACTGTCCTGAGAGAGATCACTTCCAGCTACTGTCCTAAACACAAGATCGGACATGACAGCAGCTCTGGTGTCTGACCTGCAGTAACTGCTGCTGCGCTCGGATCAGATGTCTGCTCTGCTCCAGCTCTTCCTCAAGATGAGCCAGCAGCTTCTCCTGGTCTGTCCCTTGAGCAACAGGACCTGAGCACACACACAGAATTAAGTCTAGAAAGCCTCCTCTAACCGGTCAGTTTTAAAACACACAGTTCTTACTCCTTGACATGAGCTCCTGGAGTCTTTTCTGGACTTGCATCCACTCCTGGACCACACCTCCGGTCACATGATCACCAAGGCACTGCTCTGATTGGACCAGCACGTTGTCGTCGGTCTCATCTGCCAGTTCTGTATTGTTGTTGTCCCGCAGTGTCTAATTAAAAAGATTTTACTATATGATGCACCCCGATTTGCATACTTTCCATCCTAAATAGTATGCTAGATAGTGTGTGTGTGTCACAATTCATACTTGGAAGTATGTAAAATTGGAACGTAGCCATTTATTGACTCAGGAAATCTTCCCAGTGAACGTGCAGTTGTCTTTCTCACCTGCTCCATGTTATTTCTGAGCATGTGCAGTAGTGTAGTGAGGCCGTGTCGTAGTTTCATGGCTTCTCTGAGCTCGGCTTCCCTTCGGTCCAACAGCAGACGCAGTGCTTCTTCTGTCCTGCAGAGACAAAGCACTTGCACCTCTTTTTTTCTTGGTTGGGGGTAATATTTCAAATATTTCTCATTCCAAAAATGTTCAAATTTTGCATTAAAGATGTCAAGTCAAACTGTTTACTATCATACACATGCATGATTCGTCAGTGCACAGTATTGTTAATAAAACATATTTCTGATGGGTATAACACTTTGTATAGTCTATGAGGACATTGGTCGTACCTCCCATCAGCCCTTGCGGTCTTGAAGCCAGGCTCTCTCCGCCCTGTCCGCTTTGGCAACACGTTTATTATCTCCATGGCTATGGACAGGGAATATCATTCAGTCATTGCGCAGTAATACAGTGAAACTGTCCTACAGTGAAATGTTTTGTGGCTTTTATATGGTAACGTAACCCTTAACATTTACGCATTAAACATGTTGATTACATCATCTTGCACTCCCGGGAGTTTGTGTATGGTATAAATTATAAACCTATAGGAATAGTAGCACAGTATGCTTCTCATTTATGATAAATTACTGTCTGTTAACGAGGGCGAATGTGTCAATCCAGAAAGGAGAAAGGGCAGAATTGTGGTAGTGAACAGGGGCGTTGATAGTGGGGGGAAAGGGTGACAGAGTGCATAGGGCCCAGAGGTCTGTGGGGCCCGTGATGGTGAAATCCCGTGAAATCAGTAACAGTTAAACATGAACTGGTTTGTATAGTACTGAGTCTCACAGACGCCGCGGTGCTTGTGTCTGTCAGTGAGCTGTGAGAGTTTGTCTCTCATGCGGTTGATGTGCTGCTCTCTGCGCTTCAGCTCCGCCCCCTGCTGGTTACTGCGACACTGCAGCCGCGCGCACTGCACACACAGACAACCGGATCAGTGAGACAGGTGTACTGTAGCTGCAGGTCGGAGTAATGGGCGTGGCGTGCCGAAAGGTGAATGCTACAACAACAGAAACTAACCCCTTATCCACGCCCCCTACCTTTCGCCACGCCCACTGCTCCAGCCTGCAGTTATCCTTACTTGGGATCTATTGCCTTGCACCTTACCATAGAACCTTTAAGTTAGACATATTAATATAGAGATTATAGAGATTATACATAATATATAATTATATAATTATAGAGATTAACCTTTTCTCTTTCAGAGGTCAGAGCATCTTGCAGTCTGGAGATGTGGAGGTCCTTCTCTATAAGCTGCTCCTATTAAAGACAATATTCATTATAGTCATTCTTTTATAATAATATAATAAAATATAACAATTAAATATTATATTGGTATAATATTTGGATAAACCTCTTGATGTTTTTGAGTGGGTACCAATATATAATTTAATATAATATTAATTTAATATAAATATAATTTTAATATTTTTTGTATTAATAATATACTAATATCAATATATATATATATATATATATGACAATTATATATTCATTATGAATATTATTTATATATTTGGGATAAACCTCTTGAGATGTACAGTCTCTTTTTTGAGGGGGTCCCAAAATATATAATGCAATTAATAATAATAATAATAGTAGCAAAATATAACTTAATATATATGTATATGATATAAATTAAAAGTAAAATAATATATAAAATGAATAGTAACAAAGTAAAATGCATAATGCAAGAGAGGTGGAAAGGAAAGTATGTATAACTAATATGAAAACAAATACGGTCACAGCTTAATGCAAAATATATGACGCTTTTGTGAGCGTCACCTGAACTGTGATGTTTTGTGCACCTGTAATGAGTCGGTCAGGTCTCTGTGCTCCTCTCTGAAGATGCTGTGTGTGGTTTCATCAGGACACAGAGGCAGAATCACAGAGTTCAGCATCTCTGAGATACACAGAGAAGCACAAACTCAATCGGTGTACCGGCTGTCTAACATGCTGACTGTGTGTGTGATCAGTTACCTGAGCAGTCCTGAGCTCTTACGTGGGATGCTGGTGATCTTGCGACCCGTTTGTGTGCCATAAGCCCAGACCCTGCAGATACTGTAACAGCAGCATAACATTACAAATCACTGCAACTCAAAACACTGGCATCTTATGCAAAATGCCCTTTTTTTAGTGTATAAAAATAAATGGCAGTGATTGTGAAAATCTGTGAATCACAAATGTTTCAAAAGTAAATTAGTGGTCAATTTCTTCAGCAAGCAAGCAAATTGGATTTTTTTTTGCACAATTTTTTAAATGAATAACATTAAGTAATTTATCAAAATGGCATTTCTACATCAGTTCAATCCCTGAATATATGAATACATACATCTTATCAGAGCAAAAAAAATGCACCTATTCACTCATAAAGCAGCTTAAAAAGTTAATAAGGAGTGTCACGGAGCAAACTGAGATCACAAATTACTTCTCTTTCATTTAATCAACCATTTCATCTGACATCTGCAGGCTTCCTTCAATCATCTCATCAGTGATTGAGAGCTTCAGTCTATTTACCAGCAGCTGTGAGCATCAGATCCAAAACACACTTCACTTATGGTTAAGGGAACGATGCATTTCAAAGCCCATTCAACAAAAGACAACAGATAAATGATCAAGAGCACTTTATTTTTTTAAAGTCAGTTTAGCAAAAAGTCAATGAAACGAGAATAAAGGTTTAATTTGAACATGTTCATTCAGCAGGTAATCAAGGTTTCCTCAACACAGCACATATTGAATGTCTTCCTCATCAAACACACCTGACTCGACTCATCAGCTCATTAGTCAAGATGCCAAGACCCCAAATGAGCGTCAGATAAAGGAAGACGTCCAACATGTTTACAAATGACCTTCCAACCAAATCTTGCTGACTATAAATTAGTAAAAGACTATAGTAGAAAAATGTCCTTTAATATTAGATAGGAAAAATATTCTAGTTTAATTTGTCCATTCCTTCCACATAAACCAGGTAAAACTTCATATGATCTTCAAGGACGTCTTTTTGTTTTATAAAATATGCATTACATATAAAATAGTGTTTGGTACATAAAATTGCTTTCAAAACATGGGGGGTGTCAAGACTTTTACAGTTGCTTGTACCATACAGTGTAAATTCAGCATAGTCAACATTATTACTCATAATACAGTTCATAAAAATAGACAGCAACTGTGCAGATATGAAATGAGTGTGAAGGAAACGAACACAGTGGAAATATTTCTTTTCTTGCTATGCTAAGTAGTGTTTGTCTGTGTAGTGCTCCAGGAGGTCTTTGTGGAGTAGTGTAAGGGTAGAAACAGACTCATCATCTGCAACACTTCACCAGCTCTGAAATAACAGATATTACATAGATATTAATATATTTAAAGGAGTAGTTAATTTGCTGAAAGCAGGTCATCCAAGATGGGTTTGTTTGTTCATGGGAACAGATTTGGTGAAATTTAGGCCACATCAAAAAGTTTTTGCTTGTAAACGGTGCTTGATCTGTGCATATTTCTCTCCTGATTCAGACAAGATGACTTTTCCACCAAACAATATTATGGACACAGATTTTTGCCAGAAGCAACAGTTTGAAGGTAAAAACCTCTCAATTATGGATTTGTTTTTTTACAAACGCACAGGTTTTCATTTCACAAGACATTAATCGATGGAGTGGATTATTGTGATGTTTTTATCAGCTGTTTGGACTCTCATTCTGACGGCACCCATTCACTGCAGAGCATCCACTGGTGAGCAAGTGATGCAATGCTACATTGAAGAAACAAACTCGTATACATCTTGGACGGCCTGATAAATGTTAAAATGATTATGATTGCGTAAGCATTTACTAAACGCATCTACGGTGCTTTAGAAGGACAGGAGTTTGTTGGTAACCTATGCGTGATCAGACAGGAGTCGCTCAGAGGAGGCCGCAGGACTTGGGCGGGCGGAAGGGGTTGTCGCTGGATGGCACGCCCAACAGCAGCGGGTCTTTATGGGCGTTCTGCAGGCAGAAGTTCTTCAGGTCTGTGGCAGCTTGAGAAACCTAGAGATTACAATTAAGACGACATGTTTAACGATATCCATTGAGTGCACACACCCCTGAGCTTTATTCCTGTCTATATTTTCAAGGTTTTTACAGAGGGGTTGAAAACAAGGATTCTGAACCTGGCTTTATTTATTTATGTTTTAATGCCATATCCGCAACAATGGCTATATTCATGGTAACATTAACAATATCAATTCAATGCATTTACAATAATATAACATTTTCTTAAGAAACAATCATTATACAAAAACAATAAGAAACAACAATAGTACTGATAAAAATCATATACAATCTTTCAGTTTAATCAGTGACTGAACCTGGCTTTATCTAACGTTCAGGATTCTGTTCTGGAAATGTATGCAAATTAGTGCATATTTAATGCATAATGTACACATTTAAACATAACATTTCAAAAGACTTTAGAACAATTGTCTTAATGTACTGCGATCAATCAACAGGTTTTTTAACCTGTTCACTTGCACTACATTTATGGTTGAAATAAGCTTTCTATAAGTTCTGATTGCTTCTGAGCATTAAACTAATGTAAATCTGTTTTTCTCTCACTTGACCAGTGTTCCTGTCCTACTTTTTGAGCATTTCCTTGCCAAAAAAAAAAAAAAAAAACCCACACAGGCCTATGGTGGGCAACTACCAGTCTATGATACAGCCTACAGATATAGATCTTTGCAACATTGCTAAATCAGCTTAGGGCATGAGCTAGGGGTGGGGAATATAACCAAAATATTATTCAACGCTAGGAGTAATTTTATTCCACAATAACCGTTTTTAAAAGCGGGGTAACGCGATACCTTTTAGTTCCGGTATATCGTGTAACACTACTAGCAAACATTGCATTAATAGTGAAATTTATTGCACCGTATTATAAAGCTAAAAATAAATAAAAATTGCATTTTCATATTAAAGTGGTCTTTAAAATCCTGTTTTTGTTCGCAGTCAGTAACGCACACAAAAACAAATAGTTTAGTTTGGACACATTCCAAGGTTTTACAATTCTCTTTAAAGTAACATACTAATCAACATAGTATTGAAATCTGATACCACCGCTGTACCATTGTAGCACCAGAGCGTTAGTTCTGTGTTTGCATATATCTGAATTATTAATGAGCACGGGGAACAACATCTAACAGTTGTCTGAACTTTAAGCCTAAAATACGCTTCTGGCAGTGTAAGACTCGTATAAACACTTTAAACGCATCTCGGAAAAGCTGTGACGCTAAAAAACCGAAACTATTTACCCACACACGAGTAAAAACGCGTTTTAAGTGTTGTTTTGTCGGTTAGCGTTAGCACTAGCAGTAACTCAGCCCGGCTAAACTCATCCACAAACTCTCAAAATCCAAAACTCTTCCAGGTTTGTTGTTGAAGTTGACATACGTACGTTAATTCGTCGTATTTTGGCCTCTAGTCTGAGCTGTTTGACGGCTTTCTGCGCCACAGCCACACTGCTGCTGCTAGCGTTATTGTTGGACATGATGACTGACCGAGTGACTCCAGAGAGTTTGCGGAAGTTTGAGGAACGCGCATCTAAACCTGAACATACCGCATAGGCGTTTAAGAGCTATTTTATATACACATAATACGTTTTAGCATTAAAGATAGAATACTAAATCTACTTTTTACTTTATACCGTTTTTACAAATGGAGGCTTTGTCAGATTTAACTCACTTCAGGGGACAAAATTGTCCCCAAAGACAAGTATATTTGAACGCATGCGCAGACGGCCACACAGTCTGTGGAAACAAAGCACATCACTTTTGTATACAAGTTTAAAAGAAGTCATATAAACAGGAAGAATGTGTTATTATTATATTATCTTTCATAATCTCTTGAGAATTGAATTCTGTTCCAGGGACACAAAATATGACATTGTGACACACACTCTCAGAAAAAAGCTGTCACTGGGGGCTACCTTTTCAAAAGTTACTGATATGCCCCCGTTATGGGTAAATATGGTACAAATGTGTACCTTTTGAAAAGGTACTGCCCTAGTGACAACTTTGTACTTTTTTCCCCCCTGAGAGTGTAAGACATTGTGGTCTAAATATGGCTCGGGCCCCTCCTTCAATGTAAATTTTTTCCTTCTTTATCATTTCCAACAGATGCAGTCTACTCATTTTGAGGTATCAATTAAGTCCTTGTCAAAAACACTGGGAAATCTACACTGTAAAAAATGATATGATGAAAAAGCCATGACAACTTATGTTTTTAAGTTACTTTAACTCATAAAAATAATTTAAGCAATTTCAACTTTTTTATATAAGTTATACTAGATTCAACTTGATTTAAGTCAGTTTAATGTTTCTGAAATTCAAAGAGCCCAATTTAGTTCAGTGAACTTAACATTTTAAGTTGTAGCTTATTGGCACTAACCGGCCAAATCTCTGAACATGGATTCATGCGCAGGAGTCAAATTTGTACATGAATTTAATATCAGAGTCCTTTCCAAGAAAAAAAATATTCAGCAAATCTAGACATTAGACTCATGTTTGAAACATGAGACATCGCAGTGCAACATCAAACAAGGAGACACGGGCAGACTATACAGCGAACTAACTAAATCGCGGAGGAATTTCAGACGAACAACTCATGAACTTGAGGAAGCTGTCCGTTGGGCTGGCGCAAAGAAGCATATTCAACGTGGATGAGGTGAGTGAATGCTTGTGTAACATAATTTTTGGGAGATTATTGTTCATTTTAGCAGAATAGAGCACAATTAGTTATGTTCTGTCATTGTTTTCCGAACTGTGTTTACCTTTCAAGTTTTGCATTTCTGATACGGTGGCCGCTGTGCTGTGCTGCATTAGCACTGCAGATTGTAATGTAACGTTTGAGATTTGACACAAATTTGTTTCTCCACCTGTTAAACATCGTTAAGATGGGCAATTTGAGCGATTATAGGTGTATTTTACCGTTAAAGTGGGTACCAGGTTGGCTTTGCTGAGCAGGCTCGGCATTTTCGCGCCCACTGGAAGTTTATCCCAATCAGGCTTCGTGCGTTTGAGTTGGTATTCGTTACTGAGTAAAGTTAAGCGTTTTTTTAAAATTATTTTATTTTTTTATCAATCGTTCAAGCTAGGATAATATAAGTTAACTTGAGGTAGACGACGCCCGAGCTGTTTTCTACGACGCATGAACTAATCGTCACCAGTTTTGTCAGTTTGTTCTATTCAAACTAGATGAACATATGAA